ATGCTTCTTTGATTGAAAAGTATTTTTTGACGTTATTGTTTTTCATAATGTTGCCTGTATCTACTTACTGTAAAACTTCTATTAAAAGCCCAGGCTTTTATTTCCTTTCAATCTATTAAATGATCCTGTGTTTCTTTGGGACAGACGTCAATCAGAGACGAGCTTTTGTAACCCGTTTCAAACACAACGTGCACAGCAGCAATGATGCTTGAGACTGTAAAACTGTAAATTTACACCAGAAAGAATGTTTAACTGTTAATCATTACATTTACATTTATATCCATTTTCAAGTGTGTATAGAAGAATCGTTTATCATGTAACCTTGAACACACACAAAAGACAAACAGAGACATTTAGCTTAAAAGTTTTAAGAAGCTGTTAGCTTTCTACTAAATTAATGAAAATGTTTGATTGGCTTGATGCATTTACTTTTGTTTTGTGTTTTATTTTGTCTGCAGTGTTTTAATTTCAAACTTTATTTTAAAATTGTGTCCTGGGATATTGTCATATTCCAATGTGTCATATATATTTCAAGGCTGAATGAAAAATATTTAAAACCTGTTATAAAAGAACAATAAAAGGCAATAAAAATGAAATGGGTGTAGGTTAGAGTATGCTTGGTTGATTCATTCTGGACTTTGACCCTGCAGTATGAAGGTAGATATGTTGCAAAATGTGAGAGTTTGTAGAATGACATCACATTCTACAAACTCTCACATCACATTCTACAAAGAAAGTGGCACTGTTAAGGTCTGACGGCTAATATAACAAGAGCTCGTTCTCATTAAACCTTGTTTTGTTGTAACTGTTAAATCATTTCACAATGCAATCAAAGAATCACGTCATCGTGGCAGCCTTCAAGATAGAGATAGATCTGTCAATGATTATCATACGTTAACACATTTACACGGAAGTGGAACGTCCATTTGATCTTCTCTTCAATTGTGGAGGTTTCTTGTTGGGGAGAAAAGGGATCAGCAGGTCAGTGTAATTTACTAATTAAATAATTGTCAGTGCTTATTTAAATCAAATGTAACTTCATTTTCAACATTTGTGAAGAAACAGATCAAAGTGCGATCTCATTTGATCACACAACGCTTGCTGACTGTAACCTTTATTTGCTTAAGCAGTTTGAACAAACCACAGGTTATATGTACAGACCTATAAATCCATGAAAAAAATATACTGTAATATCAAATTTTCAGATATAAAAGCTGAAGATCTTAAAAAAGAGACCAAGTGTTAATGTTTTACAGTGTCAGGAAAGTCATATTTAACTCAGTCGGTGTTATAAAATGTTTGCCAGATTAAAGATTAAACATTTGAGACAGTGCCTTCAATCTGTAAGTTTTTAAATAATTATATGCTCTAAATGATCAGTTTTTTTGTTCTTAAACCGATGATAAAACAGGGTTTGTTTTTGGGTGTGGCTACCTTTGGCAGGTTGCTACCATGGCACCATAAAAAAGTTTAGTACAGCTTTACTGAAAAGCACTGTGCCTGTTTCTTGCTTGCCACAATAAGCATCCAGATCAATATTACAAGTACAGCATGTTAATACCTTGCTATTATCTTGTTTCTGTTTGATAACCAGTCCCTCCCCTACAGTCCTGCCATCTTGTTTAAATATGGTTGAATGTGGTACCAAAAAACAACATGGCGATAGCTAAAATTTCAGACACGAGGACAACACATGGTGGGCCACAAACCAATGATAAGAGGTTACTTAGCCAGCATCCACTTCTACAGCCCATAGACTGAATTAAAACAGAAATGATAAACTACTAGCAGGCCTAGAAAAAGGTCACCTGTATTTTGCATTCAAATTGTTGAAGCATTATAAGTTAGCCTGAAGTCAAAATATCTACACAGCTCTTGTCTATTTCCTTCAAACATATTTTATCTTGAAATTTTCTGATTTCATTTCCAGGTCTCCAGGATGTGTCACATGACTTTCTTCATCACTTTCCTGCTTCTGCTACCACAAAGATGTAAAGGTAACGTCATTTTTTGTTTGTTAGTTTTCAAGTAAAAGGTTAAGAGTTAAGGCAAGGGCTAGTTTGTTCTATCTTAATGTTGACTATCACATGTGAAGCAAGTCCAGAAACCATTTGACTGCAGTCAGCAGGGGGTCTTTAGTTTTACTGCTGTCATGTATGAATGACTCTTTAAAATGTGGCACAACTATTCATGTTGTTAGTGTCTGAAGTTATCAAAGCACAAAGTCTGTTGTACAAAGAGATGCACGTACCAAACTGTTACTGAACACACACGTCATGACACTCAAAGCAGGACTTCCCCATGTGACCAATGAAGCCAATCTGGGACCCTCAATTGACTAGACAAAATCTCTTCCCAGGTGTCCTTGAAGTAATCGGTTCACCTCAACCAATACTGGCAATTGTTGGTGATGACATCATTTTGCCATGTCACCTAAGACCTGCCATGGATGTTGCTTCTAAGATTGTAGAGTGGACGAGACCAGACCTGAAACCAAGATTTGTACATGTGTGGCGTTCTGGTCAAGAACTAGTACATGCTCAACATCCATCCTATGAGGGAAGAACATCACTGTTTATCAATGAACTGAAGAATGGAAATGTTTCCCTCAAACTCTCCAAGGTGAGACTGTCTGATAAGGGGAAATACAGATGCTTCCTTCCCTTGTCTGATATTCACTCTACTGTCGAGCTCGTCTTTGGTAAGTCATCAATTGCTCAGCTTTACATTTATTCATGCACATAAGTCACTATTTAAACACATGATTGCAGGACCTATTGCTGGGGGACCAGACTTGGGTGGGTGCTGGAGGAGTTCTGGTCCCAATTACTCACTATAGAACTGACCAATCATGTGTGAGCAAGCTTTAGTTGTTTGCAGGCAAACAATCCATACACCGTTTGCACAGTTAACTCATAGTTAGCTCTGTCTGTAAGCATGCTCTCTGTATATTTGATATGTATTTCATAATGAAGGCTGTGTTGTTTAACTCTCTATGTATAGCCTACTGCATCTGTCCTTGACAAATAAACACCTAACCCTAACCCCCCTGACAACAGTACAGCATTATATACCTTTCTGTTTTTAACAATGTGCATTGTAGGCAGATATTTGTTTAAAGAGTACCAGTAGACGTAAACTCAAACCACATTATCACATCTAAAGTTGCTAGTCAACAATAGTTCACTTAGAGGTTATCCGTTATCCAAAATCTCTTCAAGCAACACTGGAAGTCAGGAAGTACTGGCTATCAGCCCCAGAGGCTAAACTATCCTCAGATGACAATGGATTCTTGGTTCACTAAACTGTTGACTTCACGCTGAAGCTTCTTAGGGAGGCAAGTGTAAAAGCCCTGAAACACCAAGCAGACGGCAAAGAACAAGTGGTGATGATGTCTGGCCAAAAAGTTGCACTACAACTGCAAATATTACAGCTGACGTCCAACCACCACGTACGTTCTGCTAAAAGGCCAACGGGGCCAATGGGTAGCGACTGACAAACTGCAAAAACTAGGGCGACGAACTCTCACCAACGGTCAAACTGGGACCGACAGCCAACAATCTCCTTGGTGTGTCAGGGCCTTTAGGGTCTATATTGAACTACCCTTATATAAAAGCACTGGAACCTAAGGGTAATTATCTAAGCCACTCTAATAACATAAAAGTGTTAAAAATATACTGGTTAGAGCAGGGGCGTCGTAGTGGGGTGAAAAGTGGGACTGACTACCCAGGGCCCCATTTGGGAGGGGGGCCCTTCATGGGCCTGAAATAAAAATCTATTTCTTATTTAGCTTTTTTTCTCTAAGTTATAACTGAAATAAGATCACTAAAATTGTCTGAATAAATGAACAAACATTCAGAATTCCTTTCTGGAAAAAATGTAGAGTCTCTCGACTGAATTGATCTATCAGCAGTCATTCGAGTCAGGAGTGAGAGATGTGGCAGGCTGCAGATTAAACCAGATTAAGCCAAGAATATCGTTTTGTTCAATTTGTGTTTTATGCATAAATTCATCATATGAATCCCCTTCATAGATACGATTTTATATGACCCTATTTTGTGAAAATATTACATCGCGGTAAAAAAGAGTCCACTTTGGAGCGATATTTAGCTACAGTAACATATTTGATATCAACAGATTATTTGTAAACTGTCAATTCATATGATACCAATGTTGTCGCACTAGCAGCAAAACTGAGTCCGCTACTTTTGCCCAAAAAACAATATTTTGAACGTCAGGTGAGACAAATGATAATGCAGTTTAAGAAGAATTAAAGTGAAGTCAGAACAGAGAAGAACTAGCCTATTATAGCCTCATTTTAAAGTGATGGTAGAATCTAATTCAGATTTATTGTATGTTTACATTTTATCATTAATGCCAGTAGAATTTTTAATTCAATAAGCTAACCAATAAGATCACTTTAGACAATAAAAGCCTTTAGAACATTAACTATAACAAGTTAATAAGTAAAATAATGCTGCTGGAAATGTTTCAAATGTCTGAAAGGTGCAAATATTACAAAGTTTAAATTATTTTTAAGCTATGAGGAAATATTAATATATTATATATATTAAATAAAACAAAGCAAAGTTGTTCAAAGTTTTTTGGGTCATTTGTGTGATGGTCATAGAAATTTTCCGGGTTAATTTGGACCATGGTAGGGGCCCAATGTGATATCTTTTCATGGGGCCCCTGGGTTAGAGTTATAATGACAACAAACATATATGAATGTATACAGTATGTGTGTGAGTGTGCAACATCTATTTTAACACCTGTAAAAACACCAGAGCAAAAATACCACCAATAAAACACGTACAAGTGATTCAGATATTTCATGGGTACATGGACAATGAGGAGTTAAAGAACAGCAGCTAAATATTTATAAGAATGTGTTTTCACAGTAATATGGGATCAGTGTCTAAGATGAGCTGAAATCAAATTAATAAAACTTTATTTGTATTAATCTGTTGATTAAACATCTTTTTAATTCGATCAATTAGGTTCTGCGTCCTCACTGACCGTGAGCATTTCCAAAGCCAGTAGTGGAGTGGATCTTCAATGTAAATCTGAAGGCTGGTATCCAGAGCCTGAGGTGTTGTGGCTGGACGGTGAGGGAAACCTCTTCTCTGCTGGATCTACAGAGATCATCAGAGGTCCCAATGATCTCTATACTGTCAGCAGCAGAGTGACTGTGGAGAGGAGACACAACAACATGTTCACCTGTAGAGTCACACAGAACAATATCAACCAGACCAGAGAGACACACATACATGTTCCAGGTAAATACATTATTAATCAGTCATTGATGTTGTCATTCCTTCAATTACAGACAGTTAATGTTAAGCTCTGTAAAGTAATTTGTTATGTGTTTTATCATTTCAGATGAGCTCTTCATGGTCCAGATGGTCCAGTCTAGTTCTATCATCCGCATCACCATCTGTGTCATTGTGTGCTTCATGTCGATCGTTGCAGTTGTTCTTGTTGTGAGGAAATGTGGACAAAACAAGAGTAAGTGTCATCTTTATTGAACTTCATTCAAAAAGTTATTTTACATCAGTTCTGTTGAGAGTTAATTTCTTAGACACAAAACAAGTCATCCAATGTGATCTCAGCCTTTACAACATCCAGTGCAGGTATATCACCTTACCTGAACCGTGGCCACTTACCAACAATATGTCAATATCAGATTTCTGTGAACTCTACTTTCCCACCCTGAAACCCCTCTCCCAAAGGGAAGACAACATAGTAACACAGGTCTGAACTAAACACATGCCTTTTCTTTTAATGTAGAAAACAAGAAGCACCATGAGGGTGAGACTGACCTGGGAGAAAGAAAAATGTTCAGACATGACATTGAACATCAGCTTCTGTTGGAGAAAGAAGGAGACGGAGATCAACCCATGACTGGAAATAAGACGATGAAGTTATTAGATAATATAAAGGCTAAACAAGATGAAAAGTTAGAGGAGAAAGAGAAAGAACTGGAACTTGTACAACAGGCGATTAAAACACTGACGAAGCAGAAGAAGGATCTGAAGATACAGAGAGAGAAACTCATCTCACTACAGCAGGAAGACATGGTACAGATAGAGAAGATCCTGAAGAAGCTGGACGAGAAGGCTACTGTAAATGCAGAAAAAAAGAAGAAACATGAAAAGACCAAAGAGGATTTGAAAAAGAGAAAGACAGTACATGATGAACTGTTAAATAACACAGAGACACAGCTGGAGTCAACAGATGCTTTGATTAAAACAAAGACTGAGAGGAAAGGGAAACTAGAGAATGATAAGGAACAAATTGAAAAGAACCTCAAAGAAACAAAGAGGAAGAGAGAAGAGATTCAGAAACAGATTCAGAGAGAAGAGATTCAGAGAAAGACAGAAGAGCTTCGGAGAATGACAAAAGAGTTTCGGAGAATGACAGAAGAGCTTCGGAGAATGACAGAAGAGCTTCGGAGAATGACAGAAGAGCTTCGGAGAAAGAAAGAAGAGCTTCGGAGAATGACAGAAGAGCTTCAGAGAAAGACAGAAGAGCTTCAGAGAAAGACAGAAGAGCTTCAGAGAATGACAGAAGAGCTTCGGAGAATGACAAAAGAGCTTCGGAGAAAGAAAGAAGAGCTTCGGAGAATGACAGAAGAGCATCAGAGAAAGACAGAAGAGCTTCGGAGAAAGAAAGAAGAGCTTCAGAGAAAGAAAGAAGAGCTTCAGAGAAAGAGAGAAGAGCTTCAGAGAAAGGCAGAAGAGGTTTAGAGAAAGAAAGAAGAGCTTCAGAGAAAGAGAGAAGAGCTTCAGAGAAAGAGAGAAGAGGTTCAGAGAAAGAGAGAAGAGGAGGAAAAGATTACAAAGAAACATGAAACACAGTCGCCAGAGGGAGGGGACGTAAGAAATAATCCATCTTCCAGCATTAACATTCAATAGTTTCACAGAATATTTTCTTCATCTGCAGCGTTATTAGCTGAAGAAATCAAACATGAATCATTCTCAACCAGATGTGACCACAGTTCATTTTGGTCATTAATAAAGGTTGTGATTCATCTTCATGATTTATCTTGTGTGATATCAGTGTTTTTTTTAAATTTCCTATATGGATTCATGGTTTGACTTTTAATACATGTTTTTAAAAAATGTTTTACTGATTAATTCAAATGTCGTTGTCTTTTTGTTTGATTCAGAGTTAAATAAATCACATTTTCTGGAGTTTTCAAGCTGACTTGGTTTTATAAGAGGGTTCATTTATATTTGTAAAAACTGATTTTCTTACATTTGAAGAAAATGTTTGCATGTAATGAAAAATAAATAAATACATTTCAGTCATGACTTCTCTCTTAGATAGCTTCTCTTTTCATATTAGGATTTTAAATGTAAACACAAGAACTATTGCTGAAATACACAAATGATAAAATAATTCAGTAAATACATGCAATTATTTGGTGTAATACACCAAGAGGAAAACATAAGGTGTTTTCAGACCAAACAGTTCTGTGGACTTTTTGAAGAGGAGTTTCCTGACAACATAAAACCATGAGGACTTTTTTTCTGTCTGAATTTGCACCGTCATGGTACCTACTCTGAAGCAGGGTCTAAAAAGGTTCCTCTAAACGGGGTTCTAGGAACTAAAATAGGTCCTAGTTCCTGCGATGTGGAATCAATAAAAAAGGAGGAGGGTTCCAACAGTTTTTAGAACAATTTAAAATTCCTGCCGTCTGAAAACACCTATAGGGAGCTAATAAAGATTACTCTTTGTAATACACATACCGTCAGACTAGTGAGGATCAGGATTGAAGTTGAAGGACTTGCAACATCTAGTTTAATCATTACAGATATCAATTATTTGGGATTATTCTACTTTTGACCGCCCTCCTCCCCATCACCAGAGGTTTTCAGTTGGTTGTTTACTAAGATTATGATGCATGTATTTTTGTGAAAATCTTTTTCTTTGAAATGTTAAAATGATTAGATGAGGAAAACACGATAGGACTGATTTTTATTGTTGGGTTGCAAAAAAAAATATGAACAGAGCATCTGCAGAAATCACAGTGTTGTTTCAGTGTGTTATACATTACATTTCTGCACTTGAACTCCAAATACTGCACAGAAGATAGTTTATTTTTATAGTTCAATAAAGTCATTTATTATTTTAAATTCACTGAGTCCCTAAAGTAAAATGACTTTGGTAGCTGGAAAGGGAAAAGATCAGAATACCTTAAAATCAATTTACTGTTAAAGAAAGTGGCACTGTTAAGGTCTGACGGCTAATATAACAAGAGCTCGTTCTCATTAAACCTCGTTTTGTTGTAACTGTTAAATCATTTCACAATGCAATCAAAGAATCACATCATCGTGGCAGCCTTCAAAAGAGACAAAGATTTGCCAATGATTATCATACGTTAACACATTTACACGGAGGTTGAACGTCCATTTGATCTTCTCTTCAATTGTGGAGGCTTCTTTTCTTGTTGGGGAGAAAAGGGATCAGCAGGTCAGTGTAATTTACTAATTAAATAATTGTCAGTGCTTATTTAAATCAAATGTAACTTCATTTTCAACATAAGTAAATCAATAATCGCATTTTGTGAAGAAACAGATCAAAGTGAGATCTCATTTGATCACACAACGCTTGCTGACTGTAACCTTTATTTGCTTAAACAGTTTGAACAATCCACAGGTTAAATGTACAGACCTATAAATCCATGAAAAAAATATACTGTAATTTCAAATTTTCAGATATAAAAGCTGAAGATCTTAAAAAAGAGATCAAGTGGTAATGTTTTACAGTGTCAGGAAAGTCATATTTAACTCAGTCTGTATCATAAAATGTTTGCAAGATTAAAGATTAAACCATTGAGACAGTGCCTTCAATCTGTAAGTTTTTAAATAATTATATGCTCTAAATGATCAGTTTTTTTCAGTTTAAGTGTCATCTTTATTGAAAAAGTTAATTGTACGTCTTGTCCAGGTGAGTTGAATCATTTTATCTTGCTTACACAACGATCCACAATCTGCCATGTCTGTAAATTAGAAGTATAAATGGCTTACGACAGATTTCTGTGAACCCTACTTTCTGACCCTGAAACCCCTCTCCCAAAGGGAAGACAACATAGTAACACAGGTCTGAACTAAACACATGCCTTTTCTTTTAATGTAGAAATCAAGAAGCATCATGAGGGTGAGACTGACCTGGGAGAAAGAAAAATGTTCAGACATGACATTGAACATCAGCTTCTGTTGGAGAAAGAAGGAGACAGAGATCAACCCATGACTGGAAATGAGAAGAAGAAGTTATTAGATAATGTAAAGGCTAAACAAGATGAGAAGTTAGAGAAGAAAGAGACAGAACTGGAACATTTACAACAGGGCATTACAGCACTGACGGAGCAGAAGAAGGATCTGAAGATACAGAGAACTCAAATCATCTCACTACAGCAGGAAGACATGGTACGGATAGAGAAGAGACGGATGAAACTGGATGACACTTAGAGAGACACTAAGAGACAAAAAAAAGGGGAAACGTGAAAAGACTAAAGAGGATCTGAGAGGAAAGGGAAACTAGAGAATGATAAGGAACAAATCAAAAAGTACCTCAAAGAAATAGAGAGAAAGAGAGAAGAGGTTCAGAAACAGATTCAGCTGCACAGCAGCAATGCTTAAGACTATAAAACTGTAAAATTTACACCATAAAATAATGTTTAACTGTGTACAGAGTGAGGATATCAATAAACAAATAAATCACTGATAAACCTGCTTCATGGCCTGTCTGTGTAAGAGCATTACTCTGTATTTCCTTGACAGATGTTTATGAGGCTGAACCGATGAAAGATTTCCAGCTGGCCTCCTCCAGTCTGGTTGCTGCTTCTTTTAAGAGCTTCTTTTGGTCCACACACAATATTTTAGCGATCTTGTGGTCTGACCGCTTTGTTTTAAACTGAAAGTAAGAAATTGTAACTATATTATAGCCTAGATTATGTACGTTACATATCACTTAAGTTTAAATGAATTATTAAAAACCACACCAAAGTTGAGATTTCCTTTCAGGCATATTTTTTCTGATGCCCTTTAATCCCACATTTCAGACTGCCAAACAACACAAAGATATTTCTCATCACTTCTCTTTGTTATGGTGTCACTCAGGTCATATTTAGTTTCCCTTCTTGGCCATATTAAGTATCTCCATGCCGTAAACTCTGGGGGCAAAGACAGCTGAACCAATATTTATCGATATCTTTATCAATGTCGTCTTTCTTTTTCATTCATTATCTTGAAGGCAGAAGTGTTTCACTTTTAATAATTGTAGTTTTAGAATATTTTTTTATTTAATTTTACTGATTAGTCTTTGTCCTCATTCATACACGGACTTCAATCATCGTCACAGCTTTTACCTTCAAGTTTCTCTGGAGAAATGTAATTTAATTAGGTTTCCACTGCCTCGTGTGCAGACCAGTTGACACAGAAGGATTCAGCAGCAATGACGTTGGTCCAAATCTCTGTTTTACGAAACCATTTATCTTTAAAATGTGAAAAATTAGACCTATATATAAACTTTTTTAACTTGGAATTGATGCAAAAATCCAAACTATAAGGTGCAGCGAGTACGAATTGAAAAACTGTCATTTGAGTAACTGACACAATGATATTTGAATGTATCACATTCATATAAAGAACATTTAATTAAAAAAAAAAAACACCTTGATGTCAAAAATAACATTTCAAAGCCAATGTAAGTGTATATAATTTCCTATCTATCCCCATTCATCGTTTCTGTTCATATTTCCTTCTATGGAAGGTAATGCAGTGCTTCTCTGACAGATACAGCAGAGGGCAGCATGATGCAGAAATTTCAAGAGAACATTTTCTGGACATACTTGAGTTCAAAAGAGACCAGCACAAAGCAGACACAGGCCTCCTCTGCTCCCATTGGGCTCCACTGCTTCAGTGTGGCGGGTAATAAAAGGTTACAAGGCGTTGCACAATGTGGCAGAACAAACTGCACATTTCTGCAGGGTTAACGTCACAATTCTGGCCTTTTCATTGGTTCCATGTTTACTTTATTATTTGATTTATCAATTTTTAACAAGTTTATCATCTTGTTGATGATCCAGTTGGGTTGGGATCAGTTGCAGTCATCTCTAAAAGTGAATAACAAGGGTGAGGAAAGTGGGAAACACAGGTATTCAGGCTTCGAAATGTGTATTTTCACCTCATATGGAATAGGAAAAAGACATTGGAAACTTGCATCTCTTTTGGTACCAATATATAATCCTCTCTGTGTGTTGCTCACTGTCTTTAACGCTGTCTATAACAACATTGTCGGAACCAAGATACATCCGTCCAGATGTGGAGTCCTGACCTGCCAGATAAACTCTCTGACTCCATTATTGTTGCAGAGTTCACACTGGTACTGTTGATCACCACTTGGTAAAAATTGGTTGAAACTGTCCTCATGTCTGTGGTCTTCAAGGCCTTACAGGGTATAAAAGTTGGTCAAGATTTTTAAATCGTCTAGTGTGAAGCCAGCCATAATGAGGTTTTCAGTCTTTTTCAGTTTCAGTACAATGAAACAGAAAGAGTATCACAATGACATATTGTTTTTTTTAAATACAAAGCTTCTAAGTATTTACTATGTTAGATATGTTTGTCTTTGTGCCTTCAAAGGACATTATCAGTGGGTTTCTATCAAAGGGGTTCATTTTGACTCTCCTGATGCAGGCCTACAGCATAGTTCAACCACAGGTTACTGTATATCCCCACGCTCGCCTTATATCCAGGTGTTGACAGTCTCTACCATAAGCAGCCCTTTGAATCATTCACAGGCTCCTTCTTTTGTGAATGGCACTTTATGAAATGGCCACTTAGCGGCCACTGACGGACGGCCGTAATTCTCAAGACTGACTGGCACCGCGGTGTGCAGAAGGGGAGGGATGGAGGGGGGGCATGGCAAGGCCTCTGATAAAGATAAAACAGGTTTCCAAATTCCGTCTTTGGCAATTTTCTCAGGCTATTTTACACTCCCTCTAGTGGTCACATTGGAAATATTATAGATACACATATAGACCTATATGGAGGCTACATTCGATCATTTTAACGTTACCTTCTAACCTTTATGATATTCACTTTCTACAATGTTTTGTTTTTGATCATCTAAAAATGTCCATCTGTGGTTTTAGAGAGTTACATACCACAGCTATATGAACAACAACCTATGAGCTTGTGACCAAATTAGCTAAATATAGGTTGAAAAAAATATTTTCCAGCATCAGCCAAATGTGTAAATATACAACGTTTAGCTAACAAGTTAGCCATGTCAACTTTTTAGGATTGGTGTTTATGTTTCACCAAAGGGGGTCGGCAGTAGCTCAGTATGTAGGGACTTGGGTTGCAAAGCATCCAGGCAGGCCGTCCACCAACAATCCCAAGGAACCTACGAGTCATGAGAGCTCAGGAGCTCCTAAAAGAAAAAGACGTGGTTAGCAGCCTCACTCTGTCAAGACATGACTCTGACTTTAGGCTCAGAGTAATGTATGTCCATAGGTCTTGTTTGTGCATGTGTCTATTTCGGGCCTATGTGTGTGAGAAGCATGTTTCTCAATAAACAGTGTAAACCAGAATTTCCCCTCAGGGATTAATAAATTATACTTATAAAGTAAGGTGGATTTGGTAACACTTTATATTAAGGTGCTTGTAATAAGCATTAATAACAAGATTCTTATTAACACAAATAAGACTATATAAGTGTTAATATAGGCATAATTTACACATTTATTATGTCTTATAAGACACTTATAGGCTCTTATTAGAAACGTACTAACACTTTATATACCATCATAAACATTAACAAGATGTTTATGAACATTAATAAGACTTCATGAGTGTGAATTAAACTATAAATTATTTTATAATTGGCTTGTAAGATATTAATTAACACAGAAACTTGTTTATAGACCACTTATCAACGTTCATAAGATGTTTATTGACATTGATAAGACTTTATTAGGTTCATATTAATGCCTTATAAAGGTTAATAAATACTTTATTATGCACTTATTAACAGCTCAGTGGGAACAGGGTCCAACTTTCAAGTAAATGCAGAAACAAAGAGGAGGTCTGTTGAACTTCCACTCAAACAGTTTAAAAAAACAGTTTTTGCTACTACAAATACAAGTATTATCTTTAACGTTAACTGTAAACAACATTATGAAAACATTTGGTGTGTCATAGCTCCCAACATATCTGATCAAATTCAGGGAAAAAGCATTGTTGTTTTTAACCCATGTTACTGTAAATAAAGTATTGAAGGTGGACAAACATCAGAAGACTAGGACACCTTGAGCCCAAGGTCTGAATACCAGTCAAGAGATGCACACACAAATACATTTTCAAACTTTGTATGTAAGGAACACAAATATTGCAGGTCAAGATTACAATATACAATTTACTAATGCAATTAACAACTTAATTAATAAAGTGTGCACATGAAATAAAACAAACAGTTGAAGTGTCTCATCCCAGTCTTTTTCGTTGGGGCTCAATCCAGGTGTATGTTTCTGTTTAATCTGTGCATCTGCTCTATGAAGTAGCGAAGGAAGTTCTTCCTTAGAAGAAACAGTCTTCTTAATCCCACTTGACGTCTCGAAGGTTGGGCTCACTATCCAGTTAGCTGCTCACAGTTCTATGGTGGATGCCCTTGTTGATGGATGGTCTTCTGGATGAGCCCAAAATCCGCCTTTTACCAAAACCTGACCTACAGACAGGTCACACCACCCCTATAAAGACAAATATGCACGTGATTATCAACACAGGCTTCATCTCAATTTAAGCACTTAACATTTAACACCAAGTATTAAAATAGAATCTGTTTTTATTCACAATTTCCCATTAGCTCTGTTGTACTACAAAAAAGGTTAAAGATTTTCTTTATCAATTTACTGTTAAGCTTTTTGTTGATTAGACAACACAAGACACTTTACTGTAATAACTGGACTATGAAACACTGAAGTTCTGTGTGAGAGACTCCACAAAAGAGAGTGAAATTAACAAAAGAGGAAAAAATGTAATCATAACTTCCACTAAACTATTCCTTACTCATTTACATACATACTGTGGCTAAGCTAAGCTACTTTCTCAGATCACAAAAAGCCTGAATAAATACTAAATTTTTCACAACACAAAAGCTAACTGATTTGCAGTGGCATATGACATTTTACATGTATTTTGTTAGCATCGCAGCTAATGCTAATTGCACAGGACTAGCCATTTTTCAATACACCTGTTAGCATCGACGCTAACGCTATCTTAACGGCTAGCGGATCCAGCCTTGATCAACAGCCAACATTGTGTTGTTTTTTCAATCTACCACTGAACACTTTGGATGTTTGTACCCTCAGTCAGGACAGAAGAGTTGGATTTAAACTAACACGCATGTTCTCAGCACAGAGGATGGGCTAAGCAGGAATATATGGCTGACAGGCAAACAACAGGTCTCAGATCAGCCAGCTAGGAATGCTGGGAGTCTCACCTGACTTTTAAATACAAGCACCTTAATATAAAGTGTTACCGCAGAAAGACTTTTTGACAGGCTGCACCTGAAACCCCGGTTTGACTGGATAATGAATCACTGACTTGCAGCAGACTTGTAACAAAGTTTCTCACTCCTCTGATCTGCAGTTTGAATTGACTTTCAGCCGGCCAAGGAGGTGAGGGTGAATGTCTGCCTTTATGCAGCTTAACTTCCAACCCTTACAGTAGCAGGGACAAGGTGACTTAATCTATAAGAATAAGGAGCCAGGCAGGCGCCCTGGGCTTTTATTAGATCTCCGATACTCCACCAAGTAAAGGCTATGTCGCAAATTACTACAGACAGCCTCTATGACATCCACCTAAAAACTACCTGTCCTTAAACAGGGGGGGTTACAGCGGTGGAAAATAGAAAATGTCAGTGTCTCCTCACATTCAATGGTGGAGAAATTGGGAGCAAGGGATAGAGGCAGATGAAGAGTGGAGGGGATCTATCCGTCAGAGCTTAAGGAGTTTTCTAACAGTACATTGACCTTGAGTGCTCACCATTGATTTCCAGTAACGCCTCCCAAACAGCACTGCGTACCCCGTCGAGCACTGCGGGACCCTGATTGGGAACAGATTTCCCCAATTCCGATAGCGTGCCTCCTGTCCGGGATGATGGATAGTTCTCCTGTATCCCATCAATGTCATGATTCACATCATGGCAGCCCTTCCTTCCCCTTTTGTTGTGTTGTTTGTCATTCCCTGTCTGTTTAATCCTCATGTGTCTCTCCCCTGTCTGTGTGAGTTTGGTGGGCCGGGCTCATGTTCTCAGGCGGCGCCAGGTGCAGCTAGTTGGTCATCAGGATCTCGACTACAAAGACTTCCTTCTGCTTCACCTCAGAGCCAGATTGTTTCACCTGCTCGCGTGGTATTGTACTCTCTTGGCTTCTTCATTGTGATAGCTTGTGTAGCTAACCCCGTTTTTCTTCTCTCCCTTGCGCCAGATCGCTGTTCGTGTTTTTTGCTTCACCTCACCTGTGCTTTTTGGACACCACTCTGGGAACCTTGCACTACCCCTCCTCCTTGCACCTTCTGAGTCACTTTTGGAATAAACCTTTTTGTTATCAACTTGATCCTGCCTATCTGAGTCGTGCTTTTGGGTCCAGAATTTGTACTAACCATAACAATCAATCCTCACCTGCCGCGAAGGAGTTGACACCTGGGCCAGATTTATCACCATATACGACATCAAGCCAAGTGACCAATCAGAGAGTGGTGTACTAAACTGAGGCCCCCCCCCTGTCTTACTTCTATCTTTTATCACCATTCAACTAATAACCTTGCATTTAAAGGGTTACAATCCTGAAAATAATTGAATGTTTTGAGCAAGTCAAAAGTTCTTTAACTTTAACTAACACAGCAGAACAATATAAATACATTTGAGGAGGGCACAAGGGTTGGTGGTGTTGTCTTACCTTGATATACTATAGAAGAAGCTCATCACAAATCAGGACACTGCTCTCCACTGTGGCTCAGCATGAAGAACTCCACACTCCGTACACTTCCCTGTCAAAGTCAGTTAATTAAGAATGATTACACCCTAAAAAGGAAAAAACATCAACGATAAACGTATACGACGCAGCAAAGATATATTCCAATACCGTTAAATTCATGGATACACCACAAAGCATTATCTCTGACTTAAAATAAAACTTGTAAACTAAGTGGTACCAAAATATGTTTTGTTTTATTCTCGTAAATTTACAACTCTATTATCAGGAATTTATGAGTTTAATCTCTAAATTTTAAAAATAATAATTACTTAACATGGCCCTCATCCTCATCGTACACTTGTATATCGTAAAATGGGTTTTTCATGAAAGACACACCTTCTCCAAGACTTAAAGTGAAAATCTGCAGTCGTATTTCTTCCAGGGACTTTAGATTCTCCACCTCTTTGGAATCATAATAATCCTTCTTAGAAAGAACAAAATTAAAACATAGGTCAGGGTAGGCTATAGGGCTGCAGACGTAAGTGTTAAGTTATAGACACCTGTATTTACAGACATGGTCATCCCATTTTGCGTTCTTTTTGAATCCAAAAACATTGCTGAATTTAATATAATCCTACAGAAATGGAAAAAAAATCACTCTGGAAGCTGTCTCATTAATAATGACTGTAAAACCATTTTTAATACAGTGCGATACAAAATAAAATTGAAATAAATGTGAATCAGAAAATATCCTTCTTCCCAGAATAACGCATCAATACATTTTTCATTGCAGTGTACAATAAAGCCGAGATAGACAGATAGACAGACGCAGACTGAGTCAGACACTTACCTCTAAATCCAGCTCAAATGTGTTGGCAAATTTCTCAGCCTCATCAAACATGAAGAAGTCTGCTAAGTCTGGGAATCAAAGAGAAGTCAACTAAGTCAAAATAACAAGACAAATATTTTAGAAAATAGAAGAAACATGGAAATGCATCCAAGTAAAGTTCTCGGGCAAAGCCTCTGTGAAGCATCTTACGACGACAGAAGAAATTGGCTCTCTTCGACTATTGTTGAGAAACAAAAAAACAGAAGACAAAAAAAGACGGCTTAGTATGTTAAAACTTGAATCACCTTCTTGATTAGTTATTGAGCAGGCATGGAAAGTAAAAACAAGATCTGCACAACAAGAAGCTCCCATTTGAAGGATTTTTTTAAGTGACATTTCGAGTCAACTGAGGAAGAGCATGTTGGCACTGTGGCGTCTTGGTGTGCGAAATCTGAAGGAGTAAAATATGTTACTTAAATGTGCAGAAATCTTTACATTTAATGCATGCAAGATCCACTTACCACTGTAATAAGTGTTGATGTTTACCATGTTTATTTTTGTCTGGAAGAGACAGGAGACTGAAGACACATCCACAGAGTAACAAACAGTCATCAAGGGCAGAAATCGTATTTGCAGTGAGTTCATCTGAAAAATCATAAAAGCTTTATGTTGAGTTCAGAACAGCCTCGTGAAAATCACATATCACAGTTATTTAAAACCGTTTGTACAAATACCTGACAGTAGTCTTGTTTGGTCAGTGTAATCATCTTCATGCAGCTTTTGTCTTGGCTGTGAAACAGATATTTCATCATTATTTGAGTCCCATTTCTCTGTATAAATCACAGCTGTAGTATGTTTAAAAACACTGACACATACGCCACCATGGAAGCAGAGCCGCACTCTGTGGTGAGTTCAAAGTCATGAAGGAAGTGAAGTACAGGAAGTGAAGGTCCCAAAGACTCAGGGTATCCTTACGCAGAAGAAAAGACAACAACAATCATCACACAATCTTTTCCAACAGGCCTTTGAACTTTGTGCAACTGTTTCACTTTGTGTTTCTATTCCTCATTCTTTCTCTTTTACCCATTAGAAATCATAGTTTGTTTACAAAGCACTTATTAAACACCAACGCTAAAAAGTGCTTTACACAATGTAAAAATCCCAACAATACACAAAAATAAAGTCTCAATAAAACCCCAAAAGAAAAACAACAATGTAGCAATAAGGCTTACACACTTGTCACTTCTTGTTTCGAAATGTTAATAAGATGATAATAAAAGTTCAGGAGTTGAAATGGTATTTAAAGTGTTTAGCTATGTGTATATACTGTACTTGTAAACAAGAGCGTACCTGGAATTAAGCCATCACTGACAGTGAGCGAGCAGATCTTTGCCTGATGAGGGTCCATAATCCAATGAGTCAGAACATTTTCTTCGCCACCCTGTGAAGACATTAGTGTTATAAAAATCTACACAAAGACATACGGGATGTTTTTCAATCTCGCCAACATTTCCAGGAAAGATTTTACTTGAAAGTGTACATTTAAATTCATTCATCATAATTTAAGGACGAATGTGTGACATTTTTGATCCAGTAGATGTCGCCCCCTTGAGCACCAGCATTAGACCAAAACAAACTGCTGTTTGGGGACACATCCACTATTTTGACCCCTCCGCTCTCCTCCAGCGGCACACCTCCAACCCCTCTCCACTCACGTTCACACAAAGGAGTAATCAATTAGAATGCAACATAATTAAGCACCATTAAGAGCAAGTGGCGGACAAAATTGTCCTTTGCTGGAGCTGCAATCACCTGTGGCCTGCATTGTTGTTAGCAGGCTAACGCTAGCACACTCGGTTAACTCAGCTTCACATTGAACATAAATTGACACAGAATGATCGTGATCTAAACACACTAACATGACATCCAAATAAGCAGTGAGTATTATATATTTATTTTCTCTAGTTCTTGACTAAAACAACTTCATACGCAAGGCCGTCCCGTTCGTGTAAACACGGCTCAGACAACAACAGAGCGGGACTCGAGCTTCTCACTCATTGTAGACACTTGAAAGTTGGACCCTGTTCCCACTGAGCTGTTAATAAGTGCATAATAAAGTATTTATTAACCTTTATAAGTAGTGTTCCCACTTTAGATCCAGTACCTGCAGAGGAGCTTTATTAACTCTTAATAAGTGCATAATAAAGTATTTATTAACCTTTAAGGCATTAATATGAACCTAATAAAGTCTTATCAATGTCAATAAACATCTTATGAACGTTGATAAGTGGTCTATAAACAGGTTTCTGTGTTAATTAACATCTTACAAGCCAATTATAAATTAATTTATAGTTTAATTAACACTCATGAAGTCTTATTAATGTTTATGACTGTATTTAAAGTGTCAGTACATTTCTAATAAGAGCCTATAAGTGGCTTATAAGACATAATAAATGTGTTAATTATGCCTATATTAACACTTATATAGTCTTATTTGTGTTAATAAGAATCTAATAAGGTCTTATAAGTGACTTATTACCTGTTATTAATGCTTATTACAAGCACCTTAATATGAAGTGTTACCGTGGATTTTTTTTACCTTCATTTCTTGGTAAAAACTAGTTTTTTGGTTCTTGTTCTAGTTTAAAAATGCAGTTACCTGCACTTGGTAAAAACTGAACTAACATGTAGCATGGCCAGTTTTGAACCAACAGTACATACATTCGGTAGAATAACCCTCAGGGCACAACTCATTGATTCTTTAACATCACACATTGTATAATAGCTGTCAATTCCACATGGACAAGTGTTGAAATATCCAGTCAATGCTTTTCTTTGTACGGCCCCACCTCAGTCAGTGTACCTATTTTCCTTATCTGATGTGGTGTGTAACGTGACCGGACATCAAAGAAGGGGACGTTGGAAAATAAGAAATGTAGAAAGACATAAATGCATGAAGAGCATAAAGAACGACTGAGCCACCCAAAAAAACACCCCACACACGTACACATTTTACAACTCACATACATGAAAAAGTGAATAACTGTCTGAATCACAACATTAAGGGCTGTGCAAACACATAATCAAAAGCTGCATCCATGAAAAAACGTGTCTGTTTTACGAACTTATTCAGAGTCAGCATCTCCTGTTTCATGCAGGATGTGTTTAATCTCAATAAATCAGTGTGCATGACTCATCCTCCGACTCCCTTCTGCCTGTTAATCTTAACAGGAACAGGGAGAAAAATGCACTTTAACGTCTTTCTAACTAATGGTCTGTTTTGAAAAGTACAATTTAATAGCGGTGAACTCCAGCAATAGCAGCAAAACACTAAAGAGTTGTTGACTTTCATTGGCTTTAAAACTGTATCACTCCATCAGATAGTGTCCAAGAGAGAACTAGCATAAGTGGCTGGTAAGCACAGAAAGCTGCTGTGGTTGCTGTTTATTTGTTATGGTTACTAGTCCAAAGAGACCTTTCTCTAATCTAATTCCTCTCAAAGAGCTGCACTAAAACAGATTGTATAATGGAAAACACACAGGCCAAGCATACAGAATATCACAAAGCAGATAGATTTATCTGAGGGATCTTTATGAGCATCTCTTGCTTTGGTGATATATCTACAGTCTACATGTATTGTGCTAAAGAATTTCAAGCCTTGCTTTCACGTTTTTCTTTCATCTTCTTTTTTTATCTTCTTTTTTCACCAAGAAAGGGCCATGTGGTTAAAGGTCTGTATCATCACCAGTATAATAAGTGATCTTGGTGAAGAAATGTACTTAAATAACTTAAATAAGTTATTATAAAGTAGTATATAAGTAGTGAGATAGACATAATTTTGAGCTTCAACCAGTAGTAGGTTAGCCTACCTTGACACAGCTAGCATGTCTCTGTCAAGAGATAGCAAAACTTGCTAACGGATCCCTTTCAAGCGCTCTTGTCCTTTAAGTGGATAAAAATCTTCATTTGCCTGATATGCCACTTTTTCACCTACATTTTGAATCAGGTCAAGAAGTAGTATGCAGTATCAGTAGCAACAGATGTTGATGCTGCATATGGCTCTTCACCGCTGGCGGAGGGTCTAACGCCAGCTTGCGCTTTCAACCTTAGTTTTCTGGTGGTCCAGTAATGGACAGTCCAAGACCCGTGTCATAATCCACCTCTGCTCTGGTTCTTGTCTTTTTTGGGCCTCTTTGGAGCCATGCAACATTGAGGGGGATCTGCTTTAAGTTGTAGGAGGTTGCTTGTCTTGAGAGCGTTCCAGCAAGTTGCCTCAACTCAAGACTGGTGATGATGGACCCAACCACTTTAACTATCGTTAGCTTATCTGGATAACATGATGCAAGCTAAATTTAATGATGAAAATGGGGAGTGCAGTTAGAGAGCGACGAAAGAGAGGCGATTGGAAATAAACTGTTGATAAGAGAGAGATATGGGAAAGGACTTGATTGTGATCAGATTTTCCATGTTGAAACTGTTTGGAGATTGTATTCAACAACTACCGGGGGATGGGCCAATGGGAAAGCAACCATTGATCTGATAAATCCATTGTTTGAATGTCCTGCCTGGTCTTTAGAAATACTAAAGATTAGAAGAGTGAGAAAAGGGGCATGCAGGGAGGGAAAGGGGAAATGAGAGAATGGATGGGTCCTCCACTGGGAGCTCTGGATCCAAAAATAGAGGCAGCAGACCTCAGATACTGTTCAGGCATTAACTCTGAACTTGCATCCGTTAAACCAGAAATTTAAAGAAAGCATAAACAAAGACTATGTTTGGAGTTATGGTTAAGGGGTTAGGGTATTGTCAGATTATTCAAGTTTAATCAAACCTAATGAGAGAGTTTCCCTGATTCCCATCTGTTTCTGTTTCCAGTTGGAACCGGAGGAGGATTTCAAGTATACTGTCTTCACAAAAAAAGCAACAGCATTGTTTGTTAAAACACTAAAAATGTATCAATGGACACTGTCATCTCACAAGGCACTCCTGGGGCAAAGGTAGAAGTAGCATACTGTTGTTGAGTTGGCGTTGGTCGTTGGACATACAAATGGCTGACGCAATCTTTTTTGACTGAAGTCTATTTGATGGTGAATATAATTTAGCACCAAGAACATCCATCCATCCATCCATCCATTTTCTTCATTGCTTTTCCCATTCAGGGTTGCGGGGGGCTGTAGATGATCCCAGCTGTCATTGGGCGAGAGGCGGGGTACACCCTTGACTGGTTATGAATTGGTTTTATACAAATTAGGATGGATTAATTTAATTGAATGAGATGTGCTTGAGCCCAAGTCTGAAGTACGTTCAGTCCACTGACTCAAAAAAGGTGTTATAGTCAAAGTAACTATGTTTCAGAATCATCAAGCGTTAATGTTCCTGAAGTTTATCATCCAAAAAAGAAGCGTCAAACTTTCCAAGACTCATTTAGATGTCATTCCCAGCAGCATGGGGAGCCAAGCATTTAGTATGTTGTCTTGTGCTGAAAGCTGCTGGTTCATTTGTTTTACGTCTGTGCAAACACACTGATAATCTTCTCATCTCTGTTATTCTGTCTGTTTTATCTGTCTCCCTTCAACACCCGCTATGTTCTCATTCTCCTCACCCCTTCCTGTTTCTGTCCAACTGTTTCCTTTTTTAATTATGTTTTACTTCCCAAAGTCTCGTATCTTCCAACAGCCATTGGCTCCGACTTTTTTGTCTCTCCAATTCTTTCTCAGGGTTGGAGGTCTTGACTTCATTTCAGACGGGACCTTCACTTCCTGCCGCCTCCTTCAGATAACAGAGTGAGGCCATAACACACACAGAGACACACACATACACACACATAAACATGCACACACAGCTGGTTCATGTCCTCCACACTGCTGTTGTTGATAAAGACTTTTCCCAGAGTGGTCACCAGAACGAGAACACCACCCATGTTTGTGTCTGGTTTCTCTGGGTGGTTTTCTCTTTAGCTGACCATGACTTCATTTTTCATTCTCTGCGACATGCTAATCATGTCAAAAACAATTATCTTTTTTACAGACCTCTACTGTACAAAAGACCATATTGTACGACGTTATATTTGTTTAATGATAATAAACTACCTAAAATGACTATTATTTGCACATGACATCACGCGCTAAGCTTCCAACTCATGAACTATAAGCAAAGTATATTTTTTGAACACACAGTTGCATCCTCATCTCTTTGTAACAATGGTTTTCTCTGCCGCTGTTTAAGAGTTTGGATTGGTCCTCTTCCGCTACTTAAATAAACAAACAATTTAAGGTCACCACTCAGGGAAACAGAAGGGCCATGAGCCAACTTTTGTAACCTAAAAGCACTCAGAAATTTAAGTTGTGGGTGCTGCCTGCACAAAAAAAGCCAACTTGCACCGAGGTCAGTAGCTAATGTGTATCTGCTGTGTTGCATTCATTCAACACCAGCAATCTAGTTTACCCAACTGCTGACTCAGAGAAGATGTTTTTTTTATGGGGCAGAAGAAGTCGCCTGTTGTTATTTTAAACATTAGGGATTTTTTTGGGACCACAGGAACTTTCCCATTGTTCTAGGACCAGTTGGAACCATTCCCCTTTTTTATTGATTCGCACCACAGGAACTATGAACTCTCGTAGTTCCTAGAACCCCATTTAGAGGAACCTTTTTAGCTCCTGCTTCAGATATTCTCCTCGCACAAGAGGGACTTTGAGTGACATGAAGTGCACAATGATTGGTCCATATGTCAGTGTACGCTGACTGGTCAAACACAAGAGCCAATCCAGTACCACCAACCACCATCCTTGAATCCCACTGTAAATGTAAGCAAATAACAGTTAATAACAGCTGGTAAAAGCTCTTAAGTCCAGGCATTATTGAGTGTTTATGCGACGGAGGAAACATTAGTAAATCTCCATCTCCTTTCATACTCAGTTATATCCAAAAACCCAATTATACACAACAAACACAAAGCTCTCGACGCTGTTTCCTCCATATTTTTGGTTGTGTTACATTAATGACATTGCTTGAGCAACTGTCGGCTGGCTTGCGTCAAACTTTTAGGTTCATATCAGCCATCACCATGACGGTGTGAATGGAGCCAGCAAAAGAGTCCCCATGGTGTGTAGTTCTAAGGGAATTCCCAAGTGGATTGTCCCCAGAACTGTTTAGTGCGAAATCACCCAACGATACCAGTATCGACCCTGATTTTTCCCATTTGGTTAAAGGTGAATGATGAAAAGTAAAGCTACTAAACTTCACCAGCTGATAATAACTACAACACAGCAGTATAAGCCACTTTCACAAACAACCTTATTACTTTGTTTTTGGGAGGAAATTCTGACAGTCCTGAATTGCATTTCCCATGAGCATTTACACACTGGATATTTATCCCTGATGTTGAAGATATTTGGACTTTTCTTGGTTTCAAAGCAGAACCCTGGAGTTCAGGCTGTCTTGTTTTCTCCTTACCCAAAAAGGGAAATGCTTTTGTGGAGGCTCCAGTTTCTAATTCTGGCTCCTTAATGTCACATTAAGTCTTCATTAATCAAGTAAACTCACATTCAACTTCCATGGTTGAACAGATCGCTGGCTTCGAGGGAAATGGGAGGCATTTCTCGTGTATTCAGTTAAGAGTAGGAACGCGTGTGTTGGTGCACACAGGAAGGAGGACTTGGAGAGCGGCATGGTTTTTTGTGTGTGCTTGTGGGAGGAGAATTTGGAGGAGGATATTGGACTTAATGTTGCAAAATCACAACCCTCCTCTCATGCAAACATCATTTATGTTGTTCTAGTTTTTGTAAAGAAATGTCTCAGAATTTCTGCCTCGAGTCGACCTTTTTTGTCTCTACTTTTTTTTTTCAGACTTTGATGGAGCCGTGCTGCTTTTAAAGGTCACAAGGTCCCATGCTGGGGTCAGCAGACAATTTTAAGTGTGTGTGTGTGTGTGTGTGTGTGTGCGCGCGCGCGCGTGTGTGTGTGTTAAAAGGGTTAGAGTGGCGGTTCAGTGACCAGAAAAGACATTCCAGATGCAGAGGAATTTGTCTTCAGTGGGGATTTTGTGTGTGTGTAAATGAGAGGAGAGGTCATGAGAACGGCAGCACACACACACACACGCACACACACACACACACACACACACGCACACACACACACGCACGCACGCACACACACACACGCACGCACACACACACACACACGCACACACACACACACACACACACAAATATATAGGATAATTCTCAGTTCTTCCCATATTGCGTAACTCTTTTTGAATTTTGGATCTCTCTTTCGACTTAAAGGATGCTCTTAAAGTATCAGAGTGTCTCTTTTTACCAAGAAATTCCTTCTTATTAGGAAGAAAGGAGCTCTTGAGCAGCGTTACCTCCATGAAACACAATATAAATAAAATATATCAGACTGCGGGCCGTTAAATGTGCTTCCACACCTTCAGTTTGGATCGTTGCGGCTGAGCTATAGTGGAAAAGTTTACCTTAAGATACAATTACATTCAAAGTAGGACTTGTAAATTAGACGTCCCAGATTCCCACCTTGGCAACCAATCACCTTGCCTGAGATTTATGTTAAGAAATAGAGGTTGTTTAAGTTCTAGTATCAAATATAGGGTGCACATTTTCTGTTCCTTTTCAATCTCTTTGCTGTGTTTTGTATCACTCTGCTGCCGACTCCATCCGGCCGCCAAACGTTACACTGAACAGCCTTCAACCTTTTGCTTTCTCTGGGTCATTTCCTGCTTTGGTTCAAACTGCTTTCTTAAAACGGCTCAAAGACTGCAGTAAAGACGACTTTAGAGAAGACTCCGACCTCATTTATTTGGTATCAGAAAAGTTGAAACACAACTTTGAACCAAATGAAACCAAGAGGAAATCTCAATTGAAACAAAAGTTAGAGGGAAATGGAAAAACAAAATACTTGTTGTGTGACAGGACATTGGAAAGAACTTGTCCGTTATTCCTTAAAAGACATTTTCATTTGTCAAACGATGTTTAATGGGATTCTTCAGTCTCAAGAAAACTGAGACTTCAGTTGTTTTTTTTTCTTTGACTCTGCCAGTGACGTTTTGCTGACACACTCACTTTATGTCGCGGTAAACATGCCAAGTTTCTGACACAACAGCCGCTGTTTGTTTAACAGTCTGTGACATGTTCCCTTTCAGCAGCATACTTGTTCTACTTGAACCTGGAAGAGGTCATGTTGACCATGAGCGTCGTCCAAAACCACAGAGAGCTCCATTCAGTCCTGTGCTTGTGCTCTTTAAATCCCAAATTTCCCAACTTGAAACTTTTGCCATATCGAGGACTCTTCCTGCTGTTGTTCTTCTTCTCTTGTCTTGATTCATCAACAAAGGACCAGAACCTAGTTTAATTCCGTGGAAGTTCATATCTTGCATGATGTTTTAGGTTCAATTCCATCATCAGAGTGTTGTCGCAGACTTGACTTTGGAAGATAAAACCTGTCTGAACCGCCTCTTCAGCTCCTGCATGTTTGGAGATTTGGGTCTGGCCAGGTGGAGGCCTCCGCGTCTTTTCTCCCCGTTCCCGCCACCAAACGCCCGAATCACCTGAAGACAAAAAAACCCACAGTGAATAACTTGAATCAATTTTAAAAATCAGATTTAAATCAAGTCAAGTCAGTAAATTATACACAAAATAATACGTTTCTACCAATTAAGAGGAACTAATAGTATTGTCGATGGAAATTTAACAGGATAAAGCCATTAAAAAGAATACTATTCTACTCTAGACCGCTATGAAACTTTGTATCATGGTGGATTCCATAAAGCTACAACAAATATAGGGGAATATCATGCTTGTATTAACTTTGTTTTGCTTTGTTTCTTAACTTATCAGAGATTTACATTTCAGAAGGTGTTTACAAAATTGTTGTAAAACATTTTTAAGCTGTGTGTTGTCATTTTTCACCACTAGGGGGCAGCAGGACAAGCCAAAAACACAACATTGACATATTATGGCATTAGGGTGTATCAGCAAAGAAATGTGTATTTTAATGCCCTGCCGCATTGTGAATGATGTTTCTCAGGTGGTAACTCACGATTAGGGTTCTGTTTTTGGTCTCCACCATCTCCTGTAGGACATGTTTGGCTCTTTAACTGATAGAAGCTCTATCTCAACCCATTCTAACTATAACTTTGTCTCATGTTAATGCCAATCAAGTAGTGTTAAGATGATTTTGCCCAATTTTCCTGTAGCGAAAAACGTCCTTTGTTGGTTTGAAACATTGTTTTTTGATAGTTTAGTGTCTGAAAACCAAAACTATGAGCTGAAAGTTGCTAAAACGCCAAATATACCTTGGGGGAAATGCAGTGTTGGGTAATTTTTTCTGTGGGTTTGTTACTACGATTAAAAACGTTCACTTTAGTACATGTCAATTTAAAAGTGGATGAAAATCGCTTTAATGGAAGTAAGGTTTTTGAATCTGAACTCGAACCCCAGAAAAGGAAACGGGCCAAAACTGGTATGACCTCACCAGAAAAGAAAATATACAGAACAGACCAATGTGGGCTGGTATACCGTTTTCCGTCCAAAAAACACAAACTTGTGGTATTTCTGTATTCTTTTGGTGACGCTGAGCATCATTGGGAAATGGCCTTTAATAGGAGTTCCCACATGGAGTGAAAAACCTTTAAAGCTCGAGCGCAAGACACGCCTGAAAAATCCTCTAATGTGGGAACAAACGTCTGTTAGATACATCTTTCACAAATGTATGAATTACAGATTTTAAAAAAAGAGTAGTCCCCACCTCCTGACAGAGATGCAGGAAGGCGGCGTGGACTCCCTCGTGGTTCTCTCTGGCCGAGGCCTCAAAGTAAACCCCTCCTGTGAGCAGACACAGTTTCAGATGTTATCAGTCAGAAAACACTCAGCATTCCTCGTTCATTAGACAACATGTAGGGTTTAGTTCAGAATGAGAAACAAAGATAAGCGTGTGTGAAAGGAGAGTTTTATTTTCTCTCTCCGGTTATAATTAGACGACGCATTAGAAGCTTAAATCATCATCTGCCAAATGCTTTTACATATTAGCTACCGTGGGAAATTCTGTTTGTGAGCAGGTCAAAGACGACTATATGTAAACATTACTTTTGGTTAGATACATGAGAAATGTCTGTATTTGGCATTTTCTCGCTGGTTAAAGTGGGTGTGGCCAAGCTGGAACAACGTGATGTAACAGATCTGTGAACAAATCAAGTTTTAGTTGATTGGTTTCATTTTGGGCCGTGCACAACACAACTTTGTAATCTCCTATATGAGCTGTTGATTGGTCAGGAAACCAAAGTGGCAACCTCCAATGTTAAAAATTAAGCCAATGCACAAGATATAAAGAACAATCTGCAGTTCCTTAAATGTCCACTTGAGGCTGGCTCCAAAAACCAAGAATCCCCATTAGGTCTCTTATGGAAAGACTCATTTTTCAACAGTTTTGGTCGAAATAGCTCATTACTGTTCACATGTTTGGCCTTTTTGTACCTTTATTTTAGACCTTTTATACCTTTTGTATTGTTACATTTTCGCTATTGCGGACTGATTGCAGAAAGAAGAACAAAGATCACAAAAGTAGTGTGATATAGAAAGTATAGAAGGACAAAGAAAAAAATACCAAACAGAAAAAAAACAACAAAAGAAGAAGATGGCCGACCTAGTGAAGCTGCTAACGTCTCGCCCTCGTCTGCCGGCACTTGTCGGGCTCTGAGCAGGTCACTCTTGTTTCCAACCTGCAGCAGATTACAGATTACAGGACAGATTATATTAAAGGGATTAGGGTTAGAGGGAAACTGTTACTCCTGTTTACGACAGGAGTGAAACTCTTTAGCCCTGGTAAAAAATAAAAAATAAATCATTATCCTTGCATAGTGTTGAGTGTATTGACGTGATTCTACTTAACCTATTTGTTTGTAAGATTTACTGTAACCTAAACTAGCACTTCTATTATTGTCATTAGCTGTTAGCTGTTTAAGGATTTGTGTCTAATCTAATCTGAGTGTGCCCAGGCTAAAATTAGCTTGTGTCTAAATCTGGTAAAGTCTATCTCTTCTGCTTGTGTCTGTCATGATTTACTCTTGTTTGGTTTGGTTGTTCCTTGTTGTTTTATTTTGTCACTTGTTTCCATATGTACTTTGACACCAGACTCATGTTGAACAGCCATGTGCTGTGACTGTGTTGGGGTTAAGAGGGGATGCAGAACGAGAGAGACGACTAGAGACAAAGTAAAATGATTTATAGCTACAAAGCCAGTAATAATGGAAAAGATATATGTAGTTTTAGCAGTTACAACAAAGTATAAGAATAATAATTGAGTGAGATAACACACACTAACCAGTATTACGGGTATATTTCCCGAGGGGTGAATGCGTCTGACGTGTTGGTACAGCGGTTGGATGGTGCGATAGCTGTTGTGGTCTGTGATGGAGAAAACCAGCACATAACCGTCCGCCCAGTAGATCGACCTGAGAATACAGTTATCATACAGTTTTAGACATGATAGTAATTATTATAATGAGGGTACTTGTTAAAAAAAACTAACCTGTTGATCTGCTCCTGGCAGTAAAGACCCTCAGCATCATCCTGAAAAAGAGCAGACAGAGATGTTGTTGACGAAAATGTAACAGAATTTAAGTCTTGCCACTAGTCTTGATGTCTTTATTCTGCTATGAAACGTAAGAATAAAACTGTGACCCTCTGCAGAGGCGCTGCTTGTCAACAGGCAAGGAAAGGCAGCATCTTGGGGCCCCAGGCTAGTAGGGGATAACATCAAAACTGATAAATCATTTTTAAAAAACCTGTCAAGTGTAAGCTGATAAGGACATGAGCTATTCAGACCAATTTGGGTTTTTAAATCAGTCGGAAATCACATTTATTTCTGCTTAAAAACTGCATTTTTCCATAGGTGTTTAAGTGAATTCCTAAGCTTGGCTCCGCATTGGCTTCATATTTCCAACACTGGAGGTTTCTGCTTAGTTGGAGCACATGCTGGAAATGATTGGACACGTAAAAACAAAGATTAAAAGACTTTCAGAGTCTGGTCAGCCGTCCAAAGACTTTCTATTTTAAAGTATTTCCTCATTACACATTCCCAGAATTGAATCAGCAACCTGGGTCAGCTTTAATTGGTTTAAGTGTTTTAAATAAGCAATGATTACTTGTTATACGATTCCTATTGACATGCCAAAATTCACAACGATCAACGATCAAAGTGAATGTTGTCTGTACCTTCTCTGAACCTCAACCAAGTAAAGTTGCAGAAACTTGACTAGACTGGCCACAAGATTGTCAATGCATCATCTCCGAGCAGCTTCAAGCGAGTTAACAGGTGGCGGTTTTACTGAAAAGGGTACGCCGCCAAGACAAATGGCTGTTAATGGAGACGCACCAGCTGGTTTGGCGTTATGACTCCGCCGGACCCCTGGGCCCCCGGACCACCCAGTCGTCCATTTGGGAACAATTCAGTTCAAGCAACTCTTTGTGTTTATTTTATCACACAATTACACCCCAAAAATGTTTTCTTTCTCTGAGCTAGAGTAAAAGATTTGCTAAGTTTTCTCCAGACGATTAGCTTACTTTCAGGTGAACCCCATGACAGTATATTTTCCATGGATGTCAGACACGTTCATTTCACTTTTTTTTTCACAATTTTATGGAGACTCTTTTTAGAAATCTCTCCTGCTGCAGCTTTTAAAAATTTTCCAGAAGCTTGGTAACTTTTCGACCTCTCTGCCTCTCACACACCAATTATTTTCTGTCTAATCTCTGGAAGCCGGTCCCCATCTGGACCAGGAGGGACTTCCTCCTCACCCTCCGTTATCTCCCCCTGGGCGAGGAAATGAGCAGATTTCAGGCCTGGTTTTGTAAACAGACGGTGGGTGAGCCGTGTGGCACGTCGCTCTCATTATTTTCATCAAGAGCGAGGAGATTATCACAGGGGTCATTTCCTTTTACTTCAAATACATTCCTAACTGTGCTTTGAGATTTTTTTTTAAAATGTGGCAATTGTTTGAGGCTTTGACGAGTTTGACGAGCAATGTCAAGAAAGCTAGAAAGCTAGCTAACTGGGAGCAAGCCAGCCAGTCGCTCGGCTTACCAAGCTAGTTGACTAGCTTTTCCTAACTGGACTTTTAAAAAACTTGTATAAGAAAGAGCTTCTTTTGTGTGTTTTTGTTACCAGTGAAGCGCACAATATCATCACAAACTGAGGCCAAAGCATCTCAAGCAGACAGCTTTTATATTTGTGCTGTTCTCTAAATAATGCATGAGAAACCTCAGGGATGGAAAACATGGCCGCCGTCTCTCTGCCTCCATCAGTTACCTGCAGAGCGACACAGGGGGTATCCTGGATCTGCAGCGACACTTCCTCCCCGTCCAGAGTGACCTTTCTGGAGTAAAGAGCCCCTGCAGAGAGCGCAAGGAACACACATGGACGGATGAATGGACGGATGGATGACTGAAATCAATAGTAGGCTGTGTTTTTGTTTTTTTCCAGAGGGAAATCAGCATGTGTGCAGTATTTTTCCTGCGTACTTTGACAAATGTTTCTTCTCTGATTACAAACAGATGAATGGAAAACTCACCAGTGTTTGCTTCATAATCCCCGATGAATCGTTTGGTCAAAAACCGGACTATAAGAGCTAAAAAAAAGACAAAAAAAGAAAACTCTGACTCAGAGGGATGCAGAAAAACTGGAATGAATTAGCCGTTAACTGAGAGAAAAGAGCAACAAAGTGAAGAGTGTGCCTGTAATGCAGAAACCTGCTGACCTATATTACACTTCAATGTTTTCTCTCAACAAGTGTTGCTGTGACACACATTTTCGATTTTCAGGACTTTGTGGGGGGAGAGATAAGCTAAACAAACCAGCCCAAAGTATGAACACAGAAAATGATTCATCAATACTCAGAATCTGATGTTGCAATCCTTCATGAATCATCTCGTAACAGTAAATCGTTATCTCATCCGGCTTTGTTTTTGTTTTTTGAAATATTAGGGACGGTTTAGCTAACAGCTTTTCTTTCCAGTGGTGCTGAAGCATAACAGCTGAGATTCCTCACATTAAAGGACCGCTCTGGAGTTTTTCGTTTAGCATGTTTGTCAATTTTGGGAACTCGTAAGAGGCTGTTTAACAAAAGAACGGTCAAAATCGAAGAAGCATGGGCTGAGATATTATGATTTCTTTTTTTAACAGGAGGGTAAGAACTACAAAAACCCTGTGAACTACATTTCCCATAATGCAACGTTAAAGCACCTTTCAATGAATCCTCCTTCAATGCCATTATTGTCATAAAAAGTACCTCTTACGATACGTAAACTGACCTAAAAAAAAAAAAAGCGGGGGTTGCTGTTAGCCTAGCGGTTAGCTCGCAAAATTAGTTTTATTGAAAAGACATCTCAAAGAATCTTATTCAGAGAAGGTCGTTCATTCTCCATGTGGGGAGTGGGTGGGCGGCACCCTAGCGCCCTCTATCGACCAGCTGCCACTGTTATAAAACATGATTAATAAATACGGGGGACCACCCTGAGACCGGGGACTAAAAGAGGCGGTCTCGATAATTCACTTATTGTCAATAAACGTATCAATGTTTGTAAATACAAATAAAAAAGAAGGTGTGAATCTCAACTTTTATCACAGTGCACTGACCATGTGGATTACTTTTTAAAGATTAATTACACTAATGAAAAGATGGATTTAAACTAGAGTGAGATTTGTCGCCCCCTGCTGTTCACGATTGGAAGTTTACATCAAATATTTCCAGCAGGCTAATTGATTTCAGACACTGGAGATATTTCCACATCTTTAAAGACAAATAGGTGACAAAGACATCCCTAACAATAACCAGCTGCATGATGGATGGTTGAACAATCACCTGTTTTGCATTCTGCACCATCTTACTCCCTCAAAAACAGCTGTTGAATTCCAACAATCCCCCCCCCCCGCCCCCCCCCGCACCTATCTCCTCCATCCATTCATACCGGTTTTGCCGACGTTGCTCGCCCCCAGCACCACGATCTTCACCGTCTTGTTGGGCACACAGTCCAGCAGAGGGTACTCCGGTATGGGGACCAGCAGAAAGTTCCCCGAGCCGCCGCTGCTGCTGCTGTTCATGGTTCCCGGTGCAGGGTCGCCTCCAGTCAGCCGCATTTAGCTCCCTCTCTGACCTCAGACAAGAAGCTCTGCTCGGAAATAACACCGCCAGAAAAAAAAAAAAAAAAACCTCCGGAAACTTCGAGGATATCACTCCATTTTCCACATAATTACTCCGGATCTTTATAGTAAAGAACTTCGGCAATTAAAAACAAGATTCTTCCCGTGCGTAAAAGTCCAAAATGCGCAAATATTCCCCAAGTACTCCAGCTGCACTTCTGCCGGTTTTCGTCCACTTTGCGTTAAAGACAAAGTTGTAAACCTCTCCGTGGAGCTTTCAGCCAAAAGAAGGCGAACTGTTACTCACTTAAACGCATTTAAACATCGTTTTTTAAGATGCATAAAGAAGTTTAAAAGATGTGTTCCGGTTTGCACCGAGTCCAGATGCGTCTGGCTGCGGACAGAGAGCCGGGAGGAGGAGGAGGGGGAGGAGGAGGGGGGAGACTTTGAACCTTCCCCTCTAATATTCCTATGAGGGCAGTTTAAACAGGGAGCTCAAGGACTTTAAACAAGCAAATAAAACGTTTTTATCATTAAAGAAAATCAAGCTGCTAAACAAACTGATTACACATTAATAGAGCCAAGATAAAAAACGGTGACTGTTCCTTTAAGGGTGTTTTTCTTTGAAACTATAATATGTCTTTACTTTATATTAAAATGAGCAGATAATCCAAGAATGAGTGAGAGCTGGTCTATTTTGATTTAGAAATACTTTTTTTCTTCCAGTTTGAAAAGTTAAACTGTTGCAACCATTCAAAAAAAAAAGTGTTATTCTTTATATTTTACGAGATTTCATTCAGAAAAAGCCCACATGGGGTATAACAATCTTGACTTAGGTTTACAGAGCAGTACAAGAATAACTAGATTTAAAAAGTAAATAATTATTGGTCATGTTTATGAACTTATGGGTCAGTAAAAAAGAGAACAGAAAATGACTAAAATGAAGTTAAAAAAGGGGAAATGTGTTTTTTTTAGAATAAGGAACTAAATTATATAAGGAGCAATCGCTCTTTATATAATTTAGTTCCTTATTCTAAAAAAAACAAACGCGCATGTTGAATACTCCAAGAGAAATAGTATCTACTCAAAACTATTAACCTACTATGTTGCTATCTTTGACCCGTTATTATGTTGTTTAGGAGCACTCGGTTTTGTTATTGGACGAGGTTAAAATGAGAAAGAAGGTCCCGCTTCATGAGAAACTCTGAAGCACCGCCCGCCGGTCTCAGCCCCTGTGTGAAGAACCGAACAAACCCACGTAGATCTGAGTAGTGCGTCGGCGACACTCCCTCACAGCTTCCTCAGGCTGGACGAGAGGAAACTGGTCAGAGTCAAGCGACTGTCAGACACAGCGGGCAGTACTCTGGACTTCCGGTTTAGCCTTCAAAATAAGAGAACACTAAATCACACAATCACTGTTAAAACTACATGTAGAAGTAACTTTCTTAAAATAAAATAAATTGAAATTGTAATATTAAATAGTTGTACTTAATACACAATGCAAAGAAAAAGTACTTCAACACAAAAGGCAGGCCCATGAGATATTATTAATAGAAACATATATACAGCTTTTGAGATTTTTTCAAAATGTTGGAAGCTTCTAATGTGAAATTTTAAGTTTACTTTCAAAAGGACATATTATCCCCCTTCTCTACCCTTTCAAACAGTCCCCCTGTGGTCTATATGAAACACCTGTGCTGTGCTTTGGTCAAAAGCACAGCACAGAACAAGCTCTGATCTGAAAACTAGGAAGGTCTTGTCATCTAGGTGGGTGAATCAAAACCTGCTTTGAGTAGATGTTGATAGTGGGTCGTTGTCAGGCTTCGTTTGGACTGAGAACTTCAGTTTCATTCTCTGAGCGTCAACAGGAGAGGCAGTTGACGCGTGTCACACCCTCTGTTGATTGCAAGCTGAAAATCTGGGGCGGGATTTTCAAGAAAATCCAAGCTTAAAAGAGTCTGAATCCGAAACTGCCAGCAGAACAAGCTCTGATCTGAAAACTAGGAAGGTCTTGTCTAGGCGGGTGAATCGAAACTTGCTTTGAGTAGATATTGATAGCGGGTCGTTGTCAGGCTTTGTTTGGATACTGTATGCCGTGGTTCTTTTGTAATGTTAAATATGTTGAGTTCTGGTAAGAACTGTATGTTCCCAACGTTATACCAACATTTCCTGTTCACCTGTGACATATAAACACTCAACCTTACCACCTGACCAACCCAAATGATCGCGCAAACTTCGGTTTGAATCGGACCTCGGCCCTTTTCTGTACGTCACCCCCCATTCTCTAATCTAAATTCATGTCTCTCTTCAGATGTTCAGATGTAGCAGACGTTTTTATCCAAAGCGACGTACATGAAAGAGTAAGTACAACACTAGTCCATGTCTTGCCCAAGCTGGGGATTGAACCATCGACCTTTCGGTTGAACTCTACCAACTGAGCCACAGCCGCCCACAGATGTCCAATCTAATAAAGGTGAAAAGGCCAAAAAATATCTTATCCTATTTTTAAAAAATCCTGTTTTGGGGCGCTGGTGGGGCAGTGGTTTGTGCGCGCGCCCCATGTATAGAGGCATTGCTCCTCCAAGTGGGTGGCCCAGGTTCGAATCCCACCTATATCCCACCTGTATAATATGTCTACACTCATGCACTTTAACTTATGTCAATACTGTCCATTTACAACTCTGTTTTTGCACATTTACATTTAATCTTTCATATTTAATCTTTCATATTTAAGACTAGTAATGCAAAGTTAAATCCTGGTTGTATATATTCACATTCTTAGTTTTGATATTTTTAGTACTTATTTACTTTGTATTTAATATTACATTGTGTTTAAATTTGCTAACACTGTGTTTTTTTTACTCATATTGTGTGTTTGGACAACCTGCTGCTGTAACAACACAATTTCCCAGTTTGGGATCAATAAAGTCATTCTATTCTATTCTATTCTATTCTATTCTATTCTATTCTATATTTTATTCTATTCACCTGTGGCTCCTTTCCCGCATGTCATTCCCTACTCTCTCTCTCCCTGATTTCCAACTCTATCCACTGTCCTGTCTCTCCATTAAAGGCACAAAAGCCCCAAAATAAAAGAAATTAAAAAATAAAAAATAAAGTGGAATTTTTTTTGTCTTTTTTTTTGTCGGTCGGTGTTTTATTCTGAAAATCCATGACGGATGTGGTCCACGTCATTGCGTGTGACATCACAGTGGTGACAGACAGGAGCAGAAGGCTTCTCCCGGAACTCTGCAGCCAGCGGCGGCTCTGATCGTTTTCAACACCGGAGGTTCGGTCCAACATGGCGGCTTACGGATGGAAATACTGATGACAGTCCGAAAGATCGCCTCGATTTGTACGATGGTGAGAAGCCGAGATCACAGCTCTGCTCGCCGCTGTGTGTGTGTGTGTGTGTGAGAGAGAGTGTGTGTGTGTGTGTGTGTGTGTGTGTGTGTGTGCGCGGCGCTGCCCGGATGTGTCTGGACGCTAAAGCTAGCTGTTAGCATGTTTGCTAACCTCAACATGATAACAACACTCAGGCTTTACAGAAAGTTGTAGCCTGCAGCCGAGCCTTCTCAACCCTCCCTCCAGCTCCACACACACAAACATCTTGTTTTAAAACGACATCACCCGCTGGCTGATCTTTTTCTCGCAGTTTTATCAGCTTTTCTTTCGTTTGTTTGTCAGAGAAGGGCAGCGGTCCGAAAACTAGCTTAGCTTAGCATGCTAACTAAACATATGTGCCCTCAGGGATCGTAAACACCTTCCCTGTTGTCTCTAAACACCGTAAACACCGTAAACAAGCCGTGTGTGACTTCCTGACAGCTCAGACTCTCTTTATATAATGTCAACATGTCATTTAAAATCCATGTTTAGTCATATTTTAGCAGATTAAACAACAACAACATGTTTGAAGCTGTGAAAGTTAAAGATATTAAAGAGTCTGCAGGTCGATTATATCACTGCGGGTTAAACATGTTTCATTATAACTAAAGGCTGCCACTCCCTTTAATAAGGACAGAAGACTTTTACACTTTTAAACTTTAGCCTTTAGCTGCATATGTCAAATATAAAAACTATTGTGGGCTCATGTGTTTGTATATATGTGTTGTGTTGTGTGTTTGTATATATGTGTTGTGTTGTGTTGTGTGTGTGTATATATGTGTTGTGTTGTGTGTTTGTATATATGTGTTGTGTTGTGTGTTTGTATATATGTGTTGTGTGTTTGTATATATGTGTTGTGTTGTGTGTTTGTATATATGTGTTGTGTTGTGTGTTTGTATATATGTGTTGTGTTGTGTGTTGTATATATGTGTTGTGTTGTGTGTTTGTATATATGTGTTGTGTGTTTGTATATATGTGTTGTGTGTTTGTATATATGTGTTGTGTGTTTGTATATATGTGTTGTGTGTTTGTATATATGTGTTGTGTTGTGTGTTTGTATATATGTGTTGTGTTGTGTGTTTGTATATATGTGTTGTGTTGTGTTGTGTGTTTGTATATATGTGTTGTGTTGTGTGTATATATGTGTTGTGTTGTGTGTTTGTATATATGTGTTGTGTTGTGTGTTTGTATATATGTGTTGTGTTGTGTGTATATATGTGTTGTGTTGTGTGTTTGTATATATGTGTTGTGTTGTGTGTTTGTATAGTTGTGTTGTGTGTGTGTATATATGTGTTGTGTTGTGTGTTTGTATATATGTGTTGTGTTGTGTGTGTGTATATATGTGTTGTGTGTTTGTATATATGTGTTGTGTGTTTGTATATATGTGTTGTGTGTTTGTATATATGTGTTGTGTTGTGTGTTTGTATATATGTGTTGTGTGTGTGTATATATGTGTTGTGTGTTTGTATATATGTGTTGTGTTGTGTGTGTGTATATATGTGTTGTGTTGTGTGTTTGTATATATGTGTTGTGTTGTGTGTTTGTATATATGTGTTGTGTGTTTGTATATATGTGTTGTGTGTTTGTATATATGTGTTGTGTTGTGTGTTTGTATATATGTGTTGTGTTGTGTGTTTGTATATATGTGTTGTGTTGTGTTGTGTTGTGTTGTGTGTTTGTATGCTGGCTGCTGGAACACCTACATTTCCCTGCTGGGATGAATAAAGTATATTATATCTTATCTTATTTATCTTATAAATCGTGTGTTTACAATTTGCATTTTAAAGAGGACATATTCTCCCCCTCCTCCACCTTTTCAAACTGTCCCCCTGTGGTCTAAATGAAACATCTGTGCTGTGCTTTGGTCAAAATATAACATGAATCAAGCACCAGAGGAGGTTTGTGACCCTGTCAGAAAAAAAGAGTCATTATAGTGATTTATTATGGACTTTGACAGTAGATTTCTCAAAAAGTACACAGAAAAAGTACTTCATAGTACTTGTGCAGGTAGTCTAAGAAGTACTAAGTTCAACCATATCAGAATCATTTTCTACTTTTTTTTTTACAAGACATCAAAGTCATAAAAAAGAGTCAGTATAGTGTTTTATGGTAAGACCTAGACATTTAGCACTTCACGTCATCGCGGCTCTCTCAGAACGCTCCGTTTTGGTGTGTGTGTCTCTTTAAATGCAATAAGCCCCGGCCCCTGAGTTTTCCCCTGTAGACATCACTCCTCTGTAGCGAGAATAAAAAATGGCGGACCTGTGCAGAAGTTTTGCTCTAGGCTAGCAAACTTTTTTTTCTTGCGGGCCAAAATTGTCGTGTTAGAATCGCTCGCGGGCCACAGGTTTTGTTTTTTTAAATATAGTTGAAAAAAAATAGTAAAGCTTTGTAGATCAGAATCAAAAGGCTCGCTAAAGGAAATCAAATATTTTACTTTATTTGTTTTTTTCTCAGAATCAAGCCTATGATGTGGTTCATTTCTTTGGAAAAGCTTTCTTCATTTAGCTCAGGTCATTAAATGGTTAAACAACAGTCTGCTTGTTTGCAAAAACTTTGCATATACGTTTTTTTCATAGTTTATAAAAAAATGTGGAAAATAGTAAAAGCTGTAGAAAAACACCAACATGTGTTACTGAACATTTTCTATTTTAGGAATATTGTTCAGCCCTCGTTAACATGAAAAAGAAAAATAAGATAACGTGCCGATCTTAATCAAAATCTTCTGATTCTTCATTTGAAGTCACGGGCCGCAAAAAATCCCCTCAAGGGCCGCAAATGGCCCCCAGACCGCACTTTGGACACCCCTGCTCTAGGCTGTGAGTCAAGTTCATGGGTGGAGATACCAGGAGAGGGGAGGGGATTTTTATTTTTATACCAGAATCCCACTGTGACATCACAAGGAGAGCACATTTGAATTGAAGGTTAGGACGAGACACGACACAGCTCAAAGGAACGCTAACAAAGGCAAATGTTTGATGTTGTACGGTCGATATATTTCTTTTGACTTGTCAGCTGAGCTGTCTGAGAGTTTTACAGCGATGTTTATCTTCTCGAGATGGAAAAGTACCAACATTTAAAGTAATAAACTTTCTAAAATACGTCTAGAGAAACCGTCATGGTCATAAAATACGAGCTAACGAAATACTGAGTACTTAAGAATTTGCGTTAAAACGTAAGTACAAGAATACATTTAACACACGTTTAGAGAAAGTCCGGTTACTCTAGTTAGTAAAGATTTTATTTTCACATATTCACCACATAATGAATGAATAGAACAGTTAAAATGACGGCCTCGGTTGTTCTACTGTTTGTCTGTACCTGATGGGGAAATTCAACGTTTCCCGTCATGGGGTTTATCTCCAAAGTTTCCTCTGTACCAAACCTGGACTTTGTTTCCCAGAAATCTCAAAGAGCACGTCTTTATCTTTAAAAAAGGCCCCTCAGGTTGTGAGGGTAAATAAAAGACACTCTTTGTTAAAGTTAAGAGCGTCATACTTCAGCTTCTTTTTCTGTCCTCTTAGCGATTTGAAAGATAGCTCTCTAACTGTTGACAGCCTCTTGCAGGGTACTTGACTCCACATATTTAATAGTTTGAAGCTGTGTTTTGATGCCTCTAATTTGCTTTGACACTTTAGTGATCTCTGTTGTGAAATCGTGGGAGGTCAGAGGTCAGGCTCCGCAGCCTTGGCTGGACCACCTTGCGCAAAGACAAATCAGGCCATCGATGCTTGTTAGCTTGGAGTTTTTAGCATCCCGCTGAAGGACAGCGCTCTGTTTGTCTAGTTGTTAAAGAAAGGTTTAAAAGTAGAACCTGACCGATTAATCGTCTAGCCGATAGTTTCGGCCGATATTATCTCATCAAGTGACTATCTGTATCGGCTACATTTTATCACAGATTTGCGCAGATATCATTCGATTTATTCAGCAAAAAGCTTTTAATTTGAGTTTCATTGTATTACACTAGCAGTTCTCTTTCACCTGCAGAGGGCGCTGTATGGATTATAACAATCACTTTCCAGAGTGTGAGTTGAGTGACCATCTTGTCTTTGTTATATCTTTATCACAAGTTTATGCAATTGAGGGATCAACGCAAAAAAAAAGAAGGTACATTTCTAAATCTATCTGTCTCTACAGATCGAAAATAGATCAGAGAAAAATATCGGCCGATTTATCGTTATCAGATTTTTTTCTCTTCTAATATCAATATCGGTATCGGACCCAAAACCTCACATTGGTCGGGCCCTGTTGAAAAGGTCAGACACTGTAACTCTGGCCTTACTTGCTCTTGTCACATTAATGTGGCAGCATAGTGAAGCCTCAGAGGCTGACACGAGAGCTTAGAGCTTGAAGATTAACTTCTAAGTGTAACTTATCCCGATTCTCTCTGCCGCACCTTCCAGAGCTGACAGACGGTTCGGCAGATGCCACAGAGAAGAAGTCTCCTTAATTTGGTGTGAGTGATCTGAAAAGCAGTGAGCTCTTAACTTAGCCTCTGTGGCTGCTGCTACTCGCCAGGGTGTTTAAAGACCACACAGCAGGCCCGCGCCACCTATTTAAAACCCATTTAAGCGTGAAGGCCGGCAGGCTTTGTGGCAAATTACCAGCGCCTACCGGTCAAATAGTAACGAGGCTAAACACTGGCTGTGTGTCTCATTGGCAGGTTTCTTCGATCTGCTGGCCAGTTTGGCAGCATACATGTTTGTACCTGGAAGGTTTTTTTGTTCGAGAGAAAATCAATTTTTCTGGTTTAAAGCGTGAAAGTCACAAACCAGAGCTGGGCAGTTTCATCTCAGCATCTGTAATGTGGCAACAATTTGGAGCTTTAATGAAGAAAAATTTAGTAAACAGTCATTAGACAGTCTACCTAATTGAGTCATATCATATCCCTTCATTTTAATAAAGGTATCTTGTGAAGACAAGTCTATCTAAAGCTCCAATTTTTCACAATTCCAACATTTACATTTACATCACAATTAAATGTCTAAATTTGGGAAATAGAAATGAATTATCAAACTATCAAACATTTTGGTTAAGGCTCGGTGTGGAGCTCCAACTAAAATAGTTCAAAATAAGACAAATCATAAATTCTGTTTCAGTCAAAAGTACCCAAAACTTTTAGCCCCAGGAACCATTTTTTTTAATGGATGCAAAAAGTCTAATTTTCACCAAGCGGTTTCCTTTGGTTCTGCACAGTTTGGGAATATTTGGCAGGTCAATCCTGATCTTATTTGCGTTTCTTTACCACCGATAAACCGTACCATTACTTGATGTTTGGAGTGTAAGCCGGATTGCGATAGCCGCATCAGCTACATACTAGCATGACATCATAGCAGTGTGACATAGTATAGCCCGCTAATAAATTCAACCAAGAAGAAGAAGGCGACACAGTAAACAAAGGGCAACAATGGAGGATGACCTGCAGAGATCTGCACCTCCAAGGTTGTCCATTGGGCCGGTGCTACGCCTTACATTATTCGCAAAAACAGCCTTGGAATTACTGTCTCAAAGTCTGTGGGATATTTCATCATTTAGTGTTTTGTATTACCGCTGTCGCACAGGAAGTGGACATTCTTTCGACCAATCAACAGACTACAGTGTGTCAAGCTCCACTCTTTTGGGGTCAGTCAGTACTCTTGGTACCCCAACGAAAAAGTAGGATGGCATGGATTGGTTGTTTTGGTAGCATTCCCAACTTTTGGAAGTGGAAAACGCTGATAAATGGGTACCATGTTGAACCGAACTGGACTGGACCGCTTGGTGGAAACAGGGCTAAAGGTTCCTTTTAGCAAGTCTCTGGAGCTTTTTGATTGAAATCCCAGCTCATGACATCTCGACTAATAGTCCTGATGACTAAACAAACACACAGGGTTTGAACAGCAGTCCATTATTTAAACACTTATTCAAAGCTGTCGCTGAAAACATCCCAAAGTTCATGACTGTGTGTGTTTGTGTTTCCAGCTCACATTGTGCTTTGTGTTTTCCCAGAATCCTCTTGTGTTTGTCTTTTCTAGCTTGTTTGTGTGCCTCGGCTTTATTGACACCATGCGCTGTGTGGATGTTGTGTTGGTAGATAAATAACCTCAGCGTGGTGTTTCGCTCGTTCAGTGTGTTGACTTTCCACGAGCTGCAGCGTGGTGATGAGTAAGAACACAGAGTCGTTCAGGCCTGAAGGGAAAGCTGCATCATGGTTGTTATCTCATCATCTCTCTCTCCTGCTTTAACATCATATATGAGTTCAGAAACTGGAAACGATACAGGTTTTATGATAAAGACTTGTTTGACAGAATTAAATGATTGACTGTATTGCCTTTTTGAGGACAAAGATGCCTTTAGTTCTAAGAGAAGTAATAATCAGTGTGACCGGGGGAAAGGCAGAATGTAGATCAACTCAGAAGGAAACAGATGGTAAAGAAACGAGCAGGAGCAACAAGAAACAATGATGAGGAAACGGGAGAACGAAGGAGGGTTTGATGGATCATTTCAGCAATGTTTGGGAATATTATGATAAAAACTAACACCAAATACGTAGAGGAGGAAACGTTTATTTAACTGCATTGTGTCTTTGCACAATTTAGTTTTATCCATAGAGGATAAGTCGACTAATGTGGGAAGATTCAAGAACGTCTTTTAAATGTTTCTATTCTTCTTCCCCTTCAGGGCGCCAATGCCTCTGCCTTGGAAAAGGAGATTGGACCGGAACAGTTTCCCGTTAATGAGCACTACTTCGGACTGGTCAACGTAAGTAGAAGTCAAACCGCACGATCAGACGACCCCCCTCAGTTAGAGTGAAGTGTAACACGGTGAAATCCCTCCCTGTCTCTGTCTGTATTTGATCTGCTTCTGATCGAGCCTGTGTGTGTGTGTGCTTTTTTTTTTTTGTTCCAGTTTGGAAACACCTGCTACTGTAACTCGGTGCTGCAGGCTCTGTACTTCTGTCGACCGTTCAGGGAGAAGGTGTTGGCGTACAAGGTAAGCGATGAGAGAAACCGCTGAGCTGGAACGAGCAAGCCCTGTTCTGTCCTCACTTTTTTTTTTTTACAGAACCTCTCATGCTCAAAGAACGCACTGAATACAGCCAAAGATAACAGAACCGTACAAAGTGCAAGACCATGAGACAGGTGGGAGTGTAAGACCACACTCCCACTGGATGTCATGTCCAAAAAAGAAAAATCGGATAAAGTAAGGCCGGTTGTGTTCTCACATTTGGTCGTCTTCTGATTTTTTTTTAAGTTAAGTTAGCGAAACTCTGAATTTAAAGTTCTTGATTAACCTCAGCTTTGGGTAAGGGCTCAACCGATAAGTACAAAATTAGCCGATACCGATAGTCACTTGAAAAGCTAATATCGGCTTATATTATCAGCCGGCTGATGAATCGGTCGAGCTCTAGTTTGCATTAACCTTTAGATTACAGTTACAGGAGACCTCACAGACGTCACTTTACAGAAACTAAGGCTAGCACCGCTTCTCCAACAGGTTTTCATGAGTTATACCTCACTTTACAAATTCTTAAATTGACCATTTTTGGGTTTTACTGATGCGCTATATGACGCTCTAATGGGAATATTTGCCTTCACATCAGTGCTGCATGTAGACCGACGGAACGACAATGTCAACAAAAGAGCGGAGGAGAACCAACTGGAGAACAGGAAACATAATGCAGCCTTTTATTATATACAGAAAAAATACTCTGGCTAGAGAAACTCTGACTTCACCCGGAGTGAAAAATTCGGCCGTTTGCGTTCACACATCAGGAGTTTTCTGCAAGTTTGAAAGCCCTTAAATATGTGAAATCTAACATGAATGTCATATTTTTATGCTGTGGGTAGCGGCAGCAGCAAACACCGAGATATGCTGCAGTTATGGCGGCCTCCACAAGATGGCAGCACCCAAGAAATCTTCCAGCAGATTCCTCTATATCACATTGTTTTACTTTGTTAATTTGACTAATATCATCCGTCTTTCTAAGGTGCAGCCGCGTCGCAAGGAGTCCCTCCTCACCTGCCTGTCCGACCTCTTCAACAGCATCGCCACGCAGAAGAAGAAAGTCGGCGTCATCCCGCCCAAGAAGTTCATCTCGCGTCTGAGGAAAGAGAACGGTTGGTGGCGTTAACAGATCCAATCGAGCTTTAAAAAACCTTCAAATCAAAACCTGTTTGTTTCAAGTTTTCGACTTCCGCAGCTCGGCCAGAATGTGCAGCTGCTGCAACATCTGACTTCCTGCGATGTTGTTTTTTTTAATTCAGGAAAAGATCCACTCGGCTCTCTGAGTGCTGTTGAGAAATGTGAAGTCAATGAATGAAAGATAGTTCCCCCCCCCCCTCCCCCCGTTGAGCTTCACAGATGAGATCGTGAAAGAGAAAGGGAGGAGAGGAGCAGCAGTGGAGGGTTATCTCAGCTGAGGAAATAAAACTGTCAGCCAAATCCTGCAGATGGAAAAAAGAGATGAGCTTAATTAGCCCCCCCCCTCCTCCCCTCCCCTCCCCTCCTCCAACACATGCTGATGCTGTTTATTTAGTTTCACTTATAATTCCCCATCTGTGTCTCTCTCTCTCTCTGGCTTCATGTTATTTCTCCTCATGTCTTTATTCACATGTCGTTTCTGTGTCCTCGTCCTTCCACCTGTGTCCCCCTCCCCCTTCACCTTCCCCCCCCCAGAGCTGTTTGACAACTACATGCAGCAGGACGCCCACGAGTTCCTCAACTACCTCCTCAACACCATCGCCGACCTGCTGCAGGAGGAGAAGAGCCAGGAGAGGCAGCAGAATGGGAAGCTGGTGCAGAACGGAGGAGGAGGTGGTGGAGGAGGGAGTACAGGAGGAGGAGGCAGTGGGAGCGAGGGAGGAGGAGAAGGAGACGGAGGAAAGGAGACGCAGCAGACGTGGGTCCACGAGATCTTCCAGGGGACTCTGACCAACGAGACGCGCTGCCTCAACTGTGAAGCTGTGAGTCCCTTTCTTCTTTTTTTCATCCCCACAGAGGATAAAAGTCGACACTCGACTACGAACATCAAACCAAAACAACTCGCGCTGCATTGTTGTGTTAGCATGCTAATGCTAGCGATCTTTATTATGCTGGTATCTTCACACTGCATGTAAATTTACCTGAAATGAGCGTGATCTAGAAACACAGTTAAGCAGTGAGTACAGTATGTTATTCTTCTTTTCTCTAGTCCCTCAATTAAACAACTTTTATACGTGAGGGGAGGAGTCAGCCGGCTGTCCTGTCGATGTAAACAAACTGAAGATAGGACTCTGAAAACTCTGAAAACATCACAGACAGTGGGACTCAGGTGTTACACCCATTGTAGACAGTCATGACTCACAGAGTTATTTTCAGAGGAGATACTTGAGTTCTATTATATTTGTGAAACATGACATATAAAGACTTTAAGATTTGAAAAAAGGACACAGTTTTCTCTCCTCATTCACACAGTTCATGATGATATTAGGGAAATGGTGTCGTTTGAAAAAAGAGAACCCATGTGACCTTGAGGGTTCTTTTGGTTTGGTTGCAGGTGAGCAGTAAAGACGAGGACTTCCTGGACCTGTCGGTGGACGTGGAGCAGAACACCTCCATCACACACTGTCTCAGGTAACACTGTGATGTCATCACACTCACACTAACAAGGCAGCAAAGAAGGTTGAATCCTACATTTAGACTCCGAGGTTTTAAACGTACGTGTGTGTGTGTGTGTGTGTGTGTGTGTGTGTGTGTGTGTGTGTGTGTGTGTGTGTGTGTGTGTGTGTGTGTGTGTGTGTGTGTGTGTGTGTGTGTGTGTGTGTGTGTGTGTGTGTGTGTGTGTGTGTGTGTGTGTGTGTGTGTGTGTGTGTGTGTGTGTGTGTGTGTGTGTGTGTGTGTGTGTGTTCACAGGGGCTTCAGTAACACAGAGACGTTATGCAGCGAATACAAATACTACTGTGAGCAGTGTCGCAGCAAACAGGAAGCCCAGAAGAGGTGAGTGACATCATCATCAGCGAGGTGCTGGCCACATGTTGGTTTTGTTAAGCTGCCTTTGAAGGTCACGTTCAGTTTGTCACATCTGCAGCTGTGTGCGCCGTGCTGCAGACATATAATGTTTCTGTTTGTTCCATTAGACGGTACCCCCCCAAAAACCACATCAGACGTTACTATAGCAACCAGTCAGGGCCTTCCGGCCTCATTCTGACAAGTTGTCTATTATTACCTTTTGCACAGCGGCCTAAAAAACAAAAACCCGCTGGACTTTTGTGTTCACTTCCAAATCAAATGACACCTCGAGGCTTTTACAACTCTTTATTTGATCTAAACCATCAAAACATCGATTCTTCAAACCTCTCTCTGTGTCTCTACGTGTTTTTTTCCCTCCAGGATGCGGGTAAAGAAGCTCCCGATGATCCTCGCCCTCCACCTGAAGCGCTTCAAGTACATGGACCAGCTGCACCGCTACACCAAGCTGTCCTATCGCGTCGTCTTCCCCCTGGAGCTCCGCCTCTTCAACACGTCCGGGGACGCCACCAACCCCGACCGCATGTACGACCTGGTGGCCGTCGTCGTACACTGTGGCAGGTAGGGCTCTTCATTTGAAATACACTTTTTTTTTAAATATCATGGACATTTTTAAGTCAGTAGAATGGAAAACCTTTTCTAACCGGTCTTGTCTGTGCTCCGCAGCGGTCCAAACCGTGGACACTACATCACCATCGTCAAGAGTCACGGCTTCTGGCTGCTGTTTGACGACGACATCGTAGAGGTGAGAGGCGTACTCTTTCTGTTTGACACAAAAAACTGATCAACTCTTTGAGATGATCTACGCTAAAGATGAATTTATAAAAATCAGGCTCCACCTTCTTTGTTTCTTGTCGTCCAGCTACTTAAAGAACAGTTCAAAAAGTTGATCTTTGAAACACTAGTCCCGCCTCTGACAAGGCAAATAGCCAATTATAGATCAGGATTTTGGAGTGGCTCTGGTCACCCCTTGGCCCCGCCCCCTGCATGAAAACAGCATGAGTACTCGCTAAGTTCTTTGTGTATTTTGCATTGTTGATGGTTTCAATGCTTTAAGAAAAACTGAAAACTTTCTAAGCAAGAAAAGAAAAAAATATGTAGAAAGGATGCCAGATTGTTTCAGCCTTCTTTGTTGGTATTTAAAATCAAATCTGGTTTAATGTAATATTATTCCAAAGAAAACCCTCAGGGAACTTAATGTACAGATGTTGAACCTCCGTCCCGACCAGACAGGAATTTCAAACAAGCCGTCCTCCAGTCTCCGTGTAGATCCTGGCGCCCTGAATGTTGTGTCTGGATTTCCTTTCGACCCAGATACTTTAACCTGTGCTTAATAATGAGGAGCTGAAGTAGGCTTTAAACCATGAGGACAGAGTTAGGGAACCGGGACGGCGGATAAAAGTGTTCATAACGGAGAAAAGAAAAACAGAAGAGACCTGCGTCAGCTGTGAGCTCCGGATCAGCCTGAAGCCTGAAGGATGAGATCAGGAAGGGGAATCATGTTTCACCGCTCCGTCCTCTTTATCGTCTCACCCTCGTTCATCATCTACCTGCTTTAATTGAGACATTATTCATCCCACTTCATTAATTTCAAGCCCCCATGTCAGTTTGATTAGGAAGCACATCGTGTTCAGAAAATTAAAAACATCACAGACTGCTGCGGCCGCTTCTCCTTTTCGTCTTTTGATTTGATTAAACAAGTATGACGCAAATCGAGGATCTCTAGAATTTGCAGCTCCTGCAAGCAAGTTATCCCGCAGCGTCTGCCACGAGACCATCTGTTTCCCCCTCTGTGACGTGCTGACAGGAGAAAACACGGCATCCCACACACACACACACACACACACCATCTGACATCCTTCTAGCATGTGTGTTAGCGCTCAGCTAACAGCTTCCAGCTCCCGTCTCAGCACGCCGCCATCCCCAATATCACTGACATGACAGCAGACACAGATGCAACAATGACAGCGATGGTTTCTCTAATTCTACCAGCATCACACACTGAGAAAAAAAACCATTTAAATCAATCAGAGGTGAAGTGTTACCAGCGTGTGGTGTTAGCCAAAAGCATGATGTAGCTTCTCTGTCATCAGCTCTTAAAGCACAGAGCCAGAGCCTCGGCCTCACGCTGCCGGGGCCAAAGAACCTTTCAGATTTGTTATTTTCCATCTTAGCGCCAAGAAGAACGAGCGAGCTGCGGCAGTCAAGCTATCAGCGGTAAACTGAGCGTGCAGCCGTGACGCTAAACGTTCCAGAGTCTGTGGAGGATAAAAAAACAAATATGAGTTTAAAGTCGAGCAGTAGTTGTCCTTTTTCCAGGGCAACTTTGGAAATTAGATATTGAAATGATTTCTTCAACTTCATGAGACATGTTTGAAAATAGTCCAAACACGTCTCAGTTAGACGTTGAAGATATGAACCCATCACATCTGGAGTTGCATGTCTGTCAATCCTGATTGTCAGATTGCGATACACGCTGGTTGGACGGCCTCCAATCATTTTTGCCTTGGGCCCAACAGACTCAAGATTCCCCCTAAGTTGACGCATTAGACAGCTTTCCCCCAAGTCCAAACAATTTATCTTTCCTCAAATCTTCAACTTGGTGGTGGACGTCACCCTGCTGTGTGAGCACAGAGGAAAAACGTCTTTGTCACCGTCATCGCCGACTGATGTTTAAAACCGATCCTGTCTCCCGTCAGTGTATTTTTCCACTACGATGGGAACGAGGCCCACTGCAACATCTGGTCCAAAGGAAGGAACCGGTCTGTTAGATTCTGCTGAGTTTGCAGAGCAGAAACACAAACTTTCATTTTTTATGGTTTGTGGAGATTAACTCTCTCCCTGCATCGCTCTGCTTTGAATTCTAACTCTAAGTCTCTTACTAAAATCTGTTTTCTCAACTGATTTCTTTCCTTTTTTGGGCTCTTATAACCTGGAGCTAAAGCTTTCCCCCATTCTTCTCCTTAAGTCTTATTGCTAAGCTAAGGCTAAGTTAAACGCCCCCTGGTTATGGCTCTCACAAACTCTGTAGACGGAAAAAAAAACTTGTTTCTTAAAAAGTTGAAGTAGTCTTTGAACCACAGCTGTCTTCAAACTGTTAAACAAAAACCTTCTTTGTTGAAAATGAATGTTTCTAAAGTCAAACCTTTCATTTTTCGTTTCTCGTAGAAAATTGACGCCCAGGCGATCGAGGAGTTCTACGGTCTGACGTCAGATATTTCCAAGAACTCTGAGTCAGGTTACATCCTGTTCTACCAGTCCAGAGACTGAACCAGCCTATGGTGAATCCCCAACAGACTGTGACTCAACAGAGGGGGAGGAGCTTATGGCTACCACCGGCTCCGCCCAGTACGCTTACATAAGTATCCAGGCTTTATTCCTTGTAGGCGGAGCTTTGCACTGGAGCGCCACTCGGATCTTGAGACGTGTGCAGGTTGCATGCCAGCCTCCTGGATTACGACTGATGAACTCCTCTGAGCCCCCACTGCAAAAAACAAAAACAAAAAAAATAGCACCTTAACAAAAACAAGATGGCTGATTCTGTAACACTCGCTTTGCGCTGGGGCATCAGCTGGGAGTAACGCCAATCCAAGAGGCTGACATCGCTGTACGCACAGTGCTCCGTTCAGGAGGTCAGAGCGCTTTGGGATCGTTGAGATGATGCAGACTAACCAATCAACTGTTTTTGAAGAGATACTCGCTTCTGATTGTAACCTTCTCTTCAAGGTAACCAGCTGCGTCACAAGTCTTCTTCAGCATTTATTTTTGTGTGTGTGCACATTTCACCATGCTACATTAGCTTCTAAGCCACTGGTACCATTCGTTTACTCCAGAAACTCATTCCAGAGACAAAGAAAAATAAAAAAGTACCTCACAGCCTCGTTAGACGTCCAACCGGCCACAACGAAACATCTAAAGATAGAGGAGCTAGAACGTAAGCTAGGAGCGCAGTGCAGTGATGTTAGTTTGCAGTGTTTTTATCATGAAGTCCGTGATGCTAATAACAAAAAGTGTTAAAAGGCAGAGTGTGAAATGGGAAACCAGCCACTAGAGATTTGGAAGAACGGCTCGTTATTTGGGATTTCTTTACTAATGAAAGCTCTAAGAAGTCATGGCCCCGATTATATTAGACCAAAAGAAATATTGGGGAAATTATTTTCGAGTTTGTTTCTTCCAAAAACACAATTTTAAGATTCTCCATTAAAGCATGCACTGTTGTATAAGATCCATATACCCTCTAAATTTTGGTGATCAATGTGTTAAAGCAGAACATGGTAACTGGAAAATAATACGGAATGTAATTTGAGTTTTTTGAAGAAACAAAATGGTAAAAACCAAATGATTAGTTACAAAGGCTTTGCAAAATACACATGCAAAAACAAAAAAAAAAGCTTTAATTTGGGCCATAGACAGCTTTACAGAACACCAATAATCCAGATTCTCAATTTAACATCCATCTTGCGATATCGAGTGAAAGCAGCTGGTTTTATTTTTGAAAGTCAGCGTCGTGCCAATGGTCCTGTTTTTTCCTGGCGGGAAAATAAAAAAAACGAGGGAACACGTTCAAACAAAAGAGCGGCCAGGTGTTTCAACATCAAACAAAGTAAGCTAACTCTTTTTTTTTTTTTTAAACAGCTATCTCGTGGGTTGTTTTGTAGTTTGCTTTCAAAGGGTGGTGGTGTTTAAACATTTTTTGATTTCTTTCTTTTTAAGTACCAGAATATTCACCATTTTGAAAAGGGACACATGAAGAAGTTCTGACATCCAAAACTGTCACACTACATTCATGTTGAATGTCTGCTTTATTTTCTGGACACACACACACACACACATACACACTCTTTTGCTGCAGCTGGTTCCCCACCAAACACCAATCACGCTGGCAAATTTGGACTCAAGAGGCTCAAGTTTTTGTTTTTTTTTCTCGTGCAGCTGCAGCTCTGGCATGCACGCCGACCTTTTACATAACACGTTTTTCACTCCAGAATCGCAGCTCTCAATAATACTGAAGGATGCTAACGCTGTGTTGATGTGGAGCTTACGGTTGAGATGTGGTTCATTTAATGCAGTAAGATAACTCCCATTGAAATGTTCTTCCATTGGTGTTACATTTTAACACTCCTGAGTTCAAACAAAATCCAAAAGAATTGCTTTCAAAGCCATTTTTTTTAAAAGCCTGTACTCGTTCTTGGAAACTTTCGCCTGCTGACTGGCATTGACTTCCTGTTCTCACCTCCATTGTTTTCTTTTAAACGCACAAACAAACCAAATGTAGGAGTGTTTTTTTTTGTGTTAAATCTTGTTTTTTTGAAGAATGTTTTACACTGCCAAGTTTTTACCACAGGTTAGCAATCAAGCTAGCATGTGACTCTTAGCTGCAGCAGATAGAAAGTGAACGGAAACTTTCTTTCTGTTTGTTAAAGTGTTGTTTGTATTTTTCGGTAATTGAGCGTCCCAGGCAGAGGGTCGGGTATTATCTGAATGTTAAAGTGTACAGTTGAATTACGATAGGGCTGCTTGACCTGTAAAACAACATCTGGAGGCCGACACGTCTTGATAATCTGAAGTTTCTCTCTCTCTCTGCTGAGACAAAAGAAGCACTTTGAACAACAGAAAACAGGTCTTGTCTTTTGATTCCCAGAAGCTAACCTAATGAAGGCGACACCTCTGTGCCTTGAATGGCTCGTTTCACTTTTAAAAAGAACTCCTTGAAAAAATCTGATTTAATATCTACATCGTGTCATCAAACATTTCAATGTTACGTTTTTTTTAAAGCTATTTTCATTTACTTTTCTATCTTTAACAAGTTCCTTTTTTCTGCAGTTAAGTTAAAGTCTTAACTGTTATCTTATTTTTCCGTCAAAATAAAAGCAGGTTTGTACCCAAACAGGAAGTAAAACACCCTTAGCTTAAGATAGTAAAAAATCTTCAAAATGAAAGCATAACAAAATCAATTTTGGAATGCAAAATAATGGAATTTCAAACATGATGGAACATGTGATTAATTGTGACTAAAATAAATAGTTTGACAGCCCTAGCAAACAGAGACTTATCCTAACTCTGAGTATTTCAGCTTCTTTATTTAGCAGTTAACACGTTTTCAGTAAGTGTCTTAGCTTAAGCTTTTAAAATATTGTGAATGACGGCAGGAGAGGGAGCAACTTCAGACGATGCGTCTCAAACAGTTACCTACATTCACTCAAGGCTTCAATGTCAACACTATTTCCATTTTTTGTCTGTGCTGCTCGTAAAACTGAATTAATCTAGATGAAAGGAAGGTTTTATTTGTGTGTTGGAATATTATTTGGGTAAATCAAGTTCATTGCCATTTGTTCTATCATCTCTGATGGTGAGATTTGTAGTTTTTTTGATTTTGAATGAGTTGAAATTTAAAGAAATGTTCCATTTGCTGATAGTTTAAGTGAACAAAAACAAGCACAAAAGCACATACGTTGGACGATGAAGGACGCAGACCCAGCCTGAAGTTGGGTATCAGTCTTCTTTTTTTTTCCGATTCAGTTTCATGAAAATTCAGTTTTGAAAAACTGAAAAAAAAAACGATTAGTCATCAACTAAACTGCCTATAACCTCTGGATGGACAAAGTGTTGGAAGACTATGTTTAAAGGCTCTTTTTATTTAAATATAATTAATATTATAATAAATGTTTTATGTTATCTTTTTCTTATATGTTCCACTTGTTTTTGATATGTCACTAATTTTACTAGTCTACCATTGTCGTGTAGGCAGCTTTGAAGAATATGTCCTTAAAATTTGGGAGTATTTGACAAGCGATGTGGAGGTGTACATAAATACAGATGTTATTATTGGAAAATAAATATTTGCTTGCTTGAAATAATCAGACATAGATCAAAAACGTTAGTGGATGTTATATCTAAAAATAAGTATTCCTGTTGTAAATCAATTCGACTGGGGCTTTAAAAGTAAAAAGCCCCGCCCATCTGGTATCCCAACCAACAGTTTGAAATAAATTAGCTCACCTGTAATCTCACAGCTAAACCCATAATACCCTCAAAAACCATCAGATTGAAAATGTATTCAATTCAAATAAAACTAAAAGTTTAAAGAAACTGCTGTGCAGAAAAGTAACTGACCCAAAAACTGACTTGTACATCACCGTGTTAAAAGGAAAAATCCACCCATAAGTTCACATACATTTAAAAAAACAACGACTTCAATAAGATACAATATGATGTCATCTTTGTAGAGAGAGATCTTTTTTAATCTGACAAAGCATTGGAATGTCACACAGATAGTTTTAAGTTCTCAACCCCAAATGTTTTTTTTTGTAAAACAACTCAAATTAAAAAGATCTGGTCATCAAGGTTATGATTTTTCACCCTATGAGAGATTTAAAGGCATCATAAACTGACAACTTTAATAATCTACAATATGGTGTCATCTGCGTAGAGTGAGTGCTTTTTTCCCAAAGCTAGGGATGTAGTAACATTTACCGACTGTAAAGCACAGAAGTAATGCACAATGGATCTTTCTTTAATTAAATATTGTTTTCAGTTTACATTTTTACAGTTACCAATAAAATAATTATCTATCAAGACTTTTTTAAAGCATACTACTGTTAATCCTTTGTTGATCAAAAGCTGCACATTTCAGCATCTTTCTGAAGGTTTTACGGCCAAGTCAAGGAAGCGAAACCCGATAAAATAACTTATTGAAAACAAAAAACTGACATCTGTGGGTGGATTTTTCCTTTTTTTCCCCAAACAGTTATAAGTTATATGTCTGTCCTCTCAAATGTCCCTTAAGGGCCTCCGTAGTCCACATCACTCTGCGATTTTCAAGGTCACAAAGAATGTAATTGTTTGATGGTGAAAAGTGACTGAATGTGTCAGAAACACTCCAATATGTTGCAACTGGTGTACGGAGTGGCAGCAGCCTCACAGACGCAAACGGCAAAACAGAATGTGTCACATTGAATTGAACCTTTCAGAAAGAACATGATATTAAGGTCGCTGATTCTTTTCTGCAAGTTCAACTCTTATTTTATTAGTCTACACACTCCGAGGCTTCTCAGTTCTTGCCACTAAATATCTTGAGGGTTACGAGTTGAATCTTGTCCTCTGAGTTGTTGTCTGGATGTTTGTCGAGGCTGCTGCCGCTGCACACTGTGGTCTGAAGTTCATTCTGAATACATGTAGATGCAGTGAAGTTTGGGAATGAAGGCTGGTGTTCCAAACTGTTTGAAATAAAACACAAACTGGTTTTGAAGATGATAAAATCTACACTGTTGTCCGAGTCCCTTTTTTTTCCTCCTGTAATGTTTTCCAGCAGCAGGTCATCTGAAGCAGAGAAACTTCTTTTTATCAGCCAATCAGAGTTAGAAATGTGATGTTCTCTTTTGATCCCACAAGCACAAGATTTTTGTTACGTTCCTTCCAAAGCTTCCTTGTGTTTGTCTTTTTACACATAGAAAAGGAAAACTAAATCTGTCTCATTAAACATTCCTAATGTTTAAAGGTCACATATTATGCAATGTTTCTCTAACACTAATGTGTCCCTAGTCGTTCTACAAACCCCCCAATGATGAGAAAAGTCCATCTTCTCTATCTTTAGCTCCCCTTTTCAGAAAATGTGTGCTCAAACAGGTCGTTTAGAGATTTTCCCTTCATGCATCACAAAGGGCAGTAGCCCCTCCCCCAGGTGGGTGACTCTCCAACAGGTAGGTGTTTGTTCTGCCCTCTGAGTTTGCCTTCTCAACGTAAACAATAGGACATGGAACGAGAAGTAGAAGAAAGAAGAATGAAAAGTTCTTGCTCTGCCACATACGTCCGTCTGAGATCATCTTCCCCGGGAGGGGTTTTTATCTTCTGACTCACCTCAGATGTTTGTTGCGCAGCCAAAAGGATGACCATAACTCTTGTGTATTTTAGTTTTTTGCAGAAATAGTGCAGTGACTCACATCTCATCTCTCCCAAATGACCTCACAACAACAAGAAGCAGTGACACAGAGGCAATCTGACTTTTAATTCTCTGCAGGTAGGTGTACATCGCTCTCTGTTTTTGGGTTTTTAAAGGATTTTACAACAATATAGAAAAAACATTTCAGTGACAAGAATTTACAAAAAAATGGATAAAATATATCTTTATGTTCTCTACAAGGAAATCCAACACAAATGAAACTTTTACTGCGGGCATGAAGGACACATTCTGTACATTTAGAGAGAAATTCAACCTTTAAATATTAGAAAATCTCAATAAAAGAATGGAAACATGGACTTTTGGTTTTGTTTTTTTACCCCAAGGAGGCCACACACACATCTCAACACTGGCTATAAGAGTCCGGAGATGGAAGGAAAAGTAAATTACTAAGTAAAAAGATGAGTTTATGTGATGAATGTCGCCCTCTTGTGGTTGAAACTTGGTTACTCCCTTATTTGACAATCCTGAAGTTTATCTTTCATGCAGTTTGGCCAGTCTACAGAGATTCTGAGGTCCCCCAAAATGTAAAAAAGAACAAAATCAAGTTTGCACAAGAAGGTTATCTTGCACACAAACCATTAAAATCTTTCACTTTTTGGGACTTCTGAGGCAGTCAAAAAAAACAAGTTGAAACAGCCTTCACTTCCTAAAATTAAGGGTTTAAACAAGTTATTTTTGGGGGGGCGGGGGGGAACAGGTCCAGCCTGATCCTCTAACTAACAGTCAAAAGGAAAACCTAAAAAGCCGAGTCCTTCAGAGGATCCAGCCCCCTGAACTGATTTCTTTGCCTTCTGAAGTTGAACACATTTTATTTACACAGAAATCGCACTGAGATAATTTCCTGAGTAAGCATTTATCCGGTGATTTGTGAGTCATCGAGGTTCAAACCAGACTCGTTTTAGTTAAATCATTTCTTCCTCTGGTTGACTTAGAATCCCTAAATCGGAGTGTGGGACAAGTCCGCGTCTGGACCCCGAACACAAAACACAACAATGTAATCTGCAACTGTCGATTTAATATATGGTATAAAATTTTAGACAATTGGGTTTAAAATAAGGTCACAATATTCACCAACTAGTTGCTTATTAGCATGCTAATCAGTAGCATATTGGCTGCTTATTAGCCATTAATTAGCGCTTATTAGTACCTTATTCTACATGACCATAGTCTATAGCTCGAGCTACAAAAAACATGCAACCGAGCGCACAACTACCGCTTTTCTGCCCGGAAAAAACGCTAGGACATGGCCTTAAACTCCTTTTTTAATGCTAATAAGTAACTTTAACGTTAAATAGAACCTGAATGTTTTCAACAACAAATGGAAACCTCCTCTGAATAACAAATCACCAAATCAATGCTTACTTCCTGGACGCACAAATCAACGTTTCCTGCTTCGATTCGTCCATTGTTCAGATGCCCTTTGCTTTGTTTGAATTCCCAGATGATATTTACAGAGAACGCAGCTCATAGCAAGTCAAAGAAAAACAACAATAAACCAACAAAGAGAGAGAGACTGGATAACGATAGTAGAGTCCATGCAGGTATAGAGTTACTGATGAGGGTTTCAAACCAGGTTTGTAAAAAGAAGACTACATCCTGTACACATGATAGACATCACAATGATTACTGCATCCATTACAGGTAAGCACTTTACCTTCACTCACTCGTATCTGTGTTTCTGTCCGAGGACGTTTAGCTTCAAAATATGCACGTTCTTTTTTTCTATATGAAAAATGTATTTTTGTATTTAGAGTTTTTGAGACGTTTTCTTCTGCAACTTTTTTTGTACTTTTTCAGGCTTTTTGTGTCCACACTAAAGCGCATGATGTGTTCAATAGGTGCTAAAAAAAAAAGTTGGAAATTCCAACGTCCATTGGGGAAAAAATTTGCAACGGGATGCTTCTTCAAGTTCAGAAGTTTGTGTGGAAATGAATAACTGAAGATTTTCTTAACCAACACCCAGTTTATAGTCCTGGAAATGCTGTGGACATTTTGAAATGTAACAGGAACATTGACAACTTTTTTCTTCAAGATCGTTGACCGCTAGAAAGGAAAGGAAGGCGTTCTTTCCCTCCACGTCCGTCACCTCCTCGCCCCTCCATCATACCATCGTCTCCGAGCTCGAGCCTTTCCCGGTGAAGAAGTCCCAGAAGTTGGACACCGTGGACGGTTTGGTCTCCTCCTGCGGGGTCTGTCTCACCCAGATGCTGCTCTCGGTCGAGCCGCTCAGACTCGAGCAGCTGCCGCTCCGGCTGCCCCCAAGCGTGAAGCTGAGCGCGTGGCCAAGCGGGCCCCTGCGGTCCGGAGCGTCCGTGTCCTGACAGTGGACTCTGGAGGACGAGGACAAGGAGGAGGAGGGGGAGGGTGAGGAGGAGGGATGAGCCAGGCTGAGCAGGTTGTGGTGGGAGTGGAACTGACGCATGTGGCGGATGGATTTGCCTGGAGGGACGTCGCCTGGAGGAGGGAAACGGGAAAGATCAAAACCAATCATAAAGCAGAGATGTGATTTCTGTTGGATTGATCTGAAATCCATTTTTTCTCAAACACACCAAATCAATTAAAATTGTAGTAAAAAAATAAAATTAAAAAGGATCAAAGTTAAGAATTTAAATAAGACGATTGTTTAATAAAACAAATTTTATGGGTAGAAAAATGACTTTAATATTGACTTTACAGGATGATAATGGTCTCTCTTACTTCCCTTCAGTCACAGCTAGGGGGTGCTGTGGCTGCATTTATAACTCCAGCACATCATGCTTCTAAAACAGTGAACATCACACACTGTTTTAAAACTTCACAACTGTTAACATTTGATCATAAAAAGCTTAAATATACGATGATAAATATTTGAAAACTAAATCTCATCCTCTAACTACATACAATGATTTTCCCCCCTATGGATCGTCAGCACTATGACATAAACACTAAGGAAACGTGGAAATTCTTTCCTCCAAAAAGTTTTTTTTTTCAAATGTGAAACATTTTCTTTAAAGGCTTTTTATGCAATTTTTTTGATCCAGCAGATGTCGCCCTTGAGCACCAGCATGAAACCAAAACAACTCACACTGCATTGTTGTGTTAGCATGCTAATGCTAGCGATCTTTATTATGCTGGTATCTTCACACTGCATGTAAATTTACCTGAAATGAGCGTGATCTAGAAACACAGTTAAGCAGTGAGTACAGTATGTTATTCTTCTTTTCTCTAGTCCCTCAATTAAACAACTTTTATACGCGAGGGGAGGAGTCAGCCGGCCGTCCTGGCGATGTAAACAAACTGAAGATAGGACTTTCCATGTGTCCCAAGTGTGAAAAACTAAATCTGAATATTTTTTAACACTTTCAAATGATTAATTTTCTCTACTTTTGATCTCGTGTTCTCATTGCCGATGTTCTTACCGTATCTGTGCTCCTGTCTCTTCCTGTTCTGGTTCAGTTTGAGCACGTTCAGGAACACCTCGCTGGTCAGGCTGCCCTCGCCGCCGCTGCCGTCGGGAGGGAAAAGTGGTGACGGCGGCTCCAGGGAGACAAACTCCCGCTGGATGCTCCCACAGAGTCCAGAGACGCCCCCGTGTCCCGCCTCCCCCCGGTGTCACTGCTGCCGTCCACCGTCAGATGACTGCCGCTACGAGGGGGGGGGAATAAAAAAGTTCAGTTACCTGTTCTAACCATTCATTTGGCCAAACTGGGACTGGTTGTCATGGTTACCTGAGTTTCCTCCGCAGCAGGTAGTCGATGATGTCGGGGTCAGTCTGGATCAGACTCATCAGGACCTCCTGCTGCAGCTCCGCCGACACCTGCAGGGGTCAACATGACGCTGTTACCATGGTTACTGTGGCCATCGCAGAGCCATACGCCTGGGCCGTGACTTGACTGACTGACATGACAGACGGTGACAGACGAGGGGCGGGGCTAGACTAGCTTGACAAACTGTTTCTCTCGTCTCGGGGTTCTTCTTCATGTTTCTTCTTTCGCTTCACCATTTTGTTTGTTTACGTCACGTGCAGAGCGCTCTTTGCTCTCATTGGTCGACTTTAGAAAGTAGCTAGAATCATGCTTATAACATGTTTACTGACACCTTACACCTTTAACAATATCTACGACCAGGATTAAAGGCTGTGAAATGGGACTCTAGTGAGGGTGGGATTTGTTACCGTGAAAAGCCGTCTGTAGTTCTGAACGAGCACCAGAGTCACGCTGATGATCGCGTTGCTGTCCTCGATACCAATGGCGTACGGATTGGAGTCCCCTCCCCTCTCTCTCTGCAGCAGGTTTGGACCAAAGATCACAGCCAGGTTCGCTGCTGTCATCTTGTTTCCACAGATCTGAAAGGTAAACATATTAGAGTTTTTGATTCTTTGTTTTACACTAGGCTCCTCCCCCCTTCATTCTTTCCCCTCCATCCTGAGCAGCGGGCGTTGGGCGTCGTACCTCCTCGTCGTTGGTCCCGATGCTGTCCTGGGCGTAGCTCTGCACCGTGTGCAGCAGGCTGAGGAGGCGCAGCAGCGTGTCACAGTTACAGGGAGGGAGCAGGTAGAGGAGGTGCTGCAGGAACTGAAGCTGGTCGGATCCCCTCAGCACTGCAGGACGCACACAGAGAGAGGGGGGGTTCGTCTGATTTATAGGCTACAGATGTTTCTACAGTGTGTATTTGGCATACTAGAATTTCAAAAATCAAACAAAATCACAGTTTGTTCCGATGCCATGGCAACAAAAACAGAGGTCCTACTCATTTGATATTTGATCATTTCTTGTTTAATCAACAAAAAATTGCAAGCAGACTCCTGCACAATGTCTGAATTGCAAAAATGAACTCTCTCTCTTTTGGTCCCAAATAAGACCGAAGATCCGTCTTTTTCAAAGCTTTTCAGGACAATCAATAATCAAAAAAAAAAGTTAGATTATAGTGCTATTTAACACGTTGTATTGAAGTATAGACATTTGTTGACACCCACAGTCGGCGTGCAGGAAGGCGGGGTAAAGCTCTCGGGACAGCAGAGGGTCAGGCATGTCTCTGAGGAACTCTTTGAGCAACGCTGCCACGTCGTGAACACTCTGCTCCTCGTCCAGCTGCACGTCCACGCCCACATCAAAGTCCTCCCGCAGCTGAGGCACACACACACACACACACACACACACACACACACACATACACACACACACACACACACACACACACACACGCGCATGCACACACCCAGAAGACACATGTACAAAATGGTGACTTTGCACAGAAGAAGACAAAGTCATGGAGGTCAAACAGCAGTCATTTGTTCCCAAAAGATGAGATTTCTCCAAAACAGGAAGTCACACATCATTATTTTTATGCTCACAAGTGGAGAGCAGAAGGACATGAAGGACATGAAGCACGGGACAGTGAGTCACAGGAGGATTTACACTAAATGTCACGACCGCAAACTGAACTCAGGATGTTTTACTACATTCAGATCTCAGCATGTCTGATGTGGAAAATATTTAACTGATATCAATACAAATATTAAATATATAGAAATATAGAAAATCTTAAAAAGAGATAAACTTTATTAATCCGATGAGGGGAAATTCAAATTTTCACTCTGTTGTTGAACATGCTACACACACACACATGCACAAACAGGATCCTGTGGACTAATGGAGAGATGTCAGAGTGAGGGGGGCGACCCACAGAAGGCGCTCCTGAGCTGGTGGATGGGTTTAGTACCTTGCTCAAGGGCACAGAAAGAGAACTGGCACCTCTCCAGCTACCAGACCAACTTCTACACCAGGACTTGAACCAGTGACCCTCCGGTTCCCAACCCAAGTCCCAACAGACCCAGTGAATTATTTCTTTATCATGGGATACCAAATGGTGTCATTTCCGATATAACAGAAACAATCATTACATGAAAATTTTGGTTTCTCTAGAGTCTAAAAATCTTGTTTTCTCACACTAGCGGGATTTTTAGCGTTAAAATTACGAAAACAAAAACTTGACCAGCAAATGTCCTCACCTGTCTCACTCTCTTCTTTGAGCTTCCGACTCGGAAAATCCCCACAGTTTGAAGACCTGGGGATGCAAAATGGAGCAAAGATCTCATCAAGTAGAGTTTTTAAAAACATATTCTAAATTAACATAGACACCCAGACTTTAATCTGAATATTAAGAAGAATATCCTAAAACCCAGATCTCTAGGTTAGCAGCCTCAAGTGAATAGTTTACTAATTTTAGGGATTCCAAATGGCACGAGCAGTACGATACACATCCCGCATCTCACCATGCATCTCGATGTGGCTGCAGCACCTCTCCAGCACGCGGGGCACCTGCCTGTAGATGGGGTTCAGGCTGAGTTTGGTCTGCGTCTTCCCCTCCGACGAGCTGCCCGGTTTCTTCTTCAGCTCCAGCTCCGCGGGGTGAGAGAGCTGCAGCGCCTCCAGCAGGCGAGACTGAGACTCGACGAGGTCGGAGATGGAGTCCACAGACAGACCGCCCTGCAGGGGGAGGGGACAGATGTCTACTATTACAGAGGGCAGAACAAACACCTAGCTGTGGGAGTGTCACCCACCTGGGGGAGGAGTTACTGCCCTTTGTGATGTCATGAAGGGAAAATCTCCAAACGGCCTTTTTGAGCACATATTTTCTGAAAAGTGGAGTAGGGAAAAGATGGAGAGGGTGGACCTTTCTCATGATTTGGGGGTTTGTATTTTGTATAATATGTGTTTTACTGATTTCAACTTGCACTTTAGGCATAAGGCTGCCTCAAAAAAACAACCTCCCAAAACCTGAACGATTTCAGAAAAAACGTTGCAGAATTCAAACATTTTCTAAAATTCTTCTTCACTTCTACTTCACCATTTCAAAGAACGATTTACATCGTGCCACATTAATTTAAGATCCGAGGTTCAGGAACCTATGGGAGAGGAGAAGAGGTTAAAGAGATACCGAGAGTCTCTGTACGGGACAGTAATGGAGGTGAAGACGGAGAAAGGTGGCAGAGAAAGAGGAGCGAGGACGGTGAAAATGACAAGAGAAGAAATCATCATGAGGAGCACTGGCAGGACAAAAATGGAAATCTAAAGATTGATGTCAGGAGCAGAATAGAGGAGTCATCACTCATCCTGACGTTTGGATCCAATAAATATGTGAGTGTCTGAAATCCAACAGCACAAGAAATATAAATCAGCCGCGTGAGACATTTGAATGCTTGTTGGAGGAACACCGAGTTTCTGGGAGGAATCTCAAACAGCTTTTCATTTTAGCAACCAAATAATCACCAGAAATGACGGTCTGTGGAGTCGTGCCAAACATGTCAGAAGGCGTCAAATTCAACCTTCTGAAACCAAGAATCTGAATATCTATTTATTTAACCTCAATTAAAGTAAGAGTCAGTAGCTTTTTTTTTTTTCAGCCTTGGGGAAGACACTCAATCCCAAGTTGCTCCCGCTGCTTCATGAATGTATATGAATGGGATTAGTCACTTCTGATGGTCACTTTACATAGCAGCCTCCACCATCAGTGTGTGAATGTGTAGGTGTGACCTGCGGTGTAAAAACACTTTGAGTTAGTCAGAAGTTCCTGGTCATTGCAGGATTTTATAATGTCGCCCTCCTTTTTCTTTCTGCATGTTATACTGTGTTGATGTAAAGCCCTTTGTGACCTTTGTTCTTGATGAATAAAGTTTACTTGCATGCTAAAAATAATGGGGTCTGGATTAAATATGCAGTGTGAAATCAGGACACAGCTGTAACCTCCTTTTCCAGTTAATAATATCTGACCTGCGTCATGGCGAGTGTCAACAGAATTTCTCTTCTACACTCATCTTGTTCCAGTCGTCGATTCCAACCTTTACTCCGGCTGTGTACGCTATCTGTCACTGGACGACTGCAAAGTTAAAACACCGCCACACTGCTGCTGCGGCTTCATCCGTCAAACTAAAGATCTCTAGCCCAGTGATGTCAGATATGTAAACAGAGAGCTGTTACAGTCCAGACAGCTGTAAGAGGGTGAAGTCGGAGTCCCATTTAGCCGGTGATGGATTGGAAAACTTTCCTGACCTCTCTCTACCAACCGACCACCTCTGTTCTTTAAATAATGACTCAAGGGAAAGACGCCTGCTAATGTAGAGTTTTGAGTCAAGATTCTTTTGAGGAAATACCCATAAACAAGTTCAGACTCTTAACGTCCGTCTCGATTTGAACAGGAACAACTATCTTCACAAAATTATTATTATTTATTTTTGCAGCATAATGAAGCACAATGTTTAAAGGCTTTATATGCAATTTTTTGATCCAGCAGATGTCGCCCTTGAGCACCAAAACCAAAACAACTCGCGCTGCATTGTTGTGTTAGCATGCTAATGCTAGCGATCTTTATTATGCTGGTATCTTCACACTGCATGTAAATTTACCTGAAATGAGCGTGATCTAGAAACACAGTTAAGCAGTGAGTACAGTATGTTATGAACGTGGGCACTTCAGAGCCTTAGAGAGAGAGTCAGAAGCGAGCCGGTGCATGGAGCGGCAGAACATGAAAACAGACACTTTTTTCGAACTTTAGCTATTGTGAACATACTTTAGTAGGTACATAGATTAAATATACAAACCCCAAAAAGGGCATAATATGACCTCTTTAAGTGAGAAAAATCACATATAATGCCTTTAACAAGTTAATTCACAGATCCTGCTTGTTTTTTTGTGTTATTATCTCTATTATTATCTTATCACGTGTTTGTACTGCTCGGCTTTCCATATGAACGTGCAGTGTTTGTTTGCCACAGTGACTGATTCTGCAGACCTGAACTTGATAGCTCAGGTTCAGGTTTGTTTTCTGTGCTCTTGCGGCTGTAATGCCACTCATTACAGGCTTTACATAAGAACGGTTTCCAGATCGGTGTGGGGGGGATTACAGGGTGTGATGGCCTCAAGCGGAGAGGGTTCACACACACTAAACTAAACATATGGCACAGCATTTTTTTTAATGCTCGTACAAACACAAAACAAAAATGTTTTAAAAAAGAGATAAGAAGGAAACACAAACAGATGTCTTTTTTTAAGCATGACACTAAATCTGGCAGAAAGCAATACCTGCCTTGCCAGATTAAATTTTTCCAATTATCCACATCGTTTCCGATAAATCACTGCTTCAAATCTCTCCAAACATGGACGTGCACCAAACAAATAACTGCTACTGCCTGAGTAAATGTGGAATTTGGCAAAAGCAAGGATTAAGTTAAAACTGCTCGTTCGGACTTGAAGCACAACAAAGTTAAACAGATGTCAGAGATCACTTATCACATCCCAATTTATCTTACTTACCTTGGAACTAATTTCACATATTGTTTACTCACTTTCTCATGGCCGGATTAATTATTGTTTCTGAGATGTTGAAATATTAAGGAACCAAAAAAAACGGACCAAAAGCCGGGTTTTTACACCACAACTTTGGTATTTACAGTATATAAGTATCCACTCAATCAGCTGTCTCTCTCACCCTCCTCCGTCCTCGTCCGATGTTGTCGAGAAATGTAGGCGACATCGGTTTGTTCGGGTATTCAAAGATGGGCACTGGTGCCACCGAGTTTGCTGGCGGCGAGCTGGGGCCTCCTCCTGTGATTGACGAGGAGTTGCTCAGCGGTTTGCTCCCGTTGAAGAACTGTCTCTTCTCGGCCCTGAAGCGCAGAACGCTGGCCTCAAGATCCAGACAATCCCGCCTGCTCTCCTTCAAGGCATCCTGTCGCAGCTTGTAGGCGCGGTCGTTGGCGATGACCTGGGAGAGGGGGATGCCGAATGCCTTGGGCGAGGATTCTGTAGGAAACACAAGCAAACAAAACACAAGTTATTGATTGTTTTCCTCGATATCACTGATGTGTTACTGGAGGATCAATTCTCCTGTTCATTATTTTCTAATATGAAGAATAAATAAAATCATTGTGAGTAAAAAGAAAGCTGTTGCTTTAGGCCACATAGGATTATCATTCAAGGAGTCTTCCTCCTACGAGACCTTTTGAGCTAATTTTTCTCTGCAAGTTCTCTGCAAGACAGAAATTCAGTACATGGTCCAGCAAAAGGAAACATATTCTTGTAAATGAACTATATAAGACATGCCCAATGTCTAGCTGATGTCAAAACCCATTTAGTGGATGTGAAAACCCAATGTCCAGCCGACGACAAAGCTATTGGTTTAGAGGACCTTACAGTCCAACTTTAGGCCGATGTCTAAAAGTTACGCCAAGTTAAGGTCAAAACCCTACGTTTATATGACATCAGAACCCATAATATAGTTGACATCAAAACCGATTTAGTAGTTGTTGATACTCAATGTCTGTCAGACTTAAAACACAATGTCTAGCTGATGACAAAACTAATGGTTTAGGGGACGTCACAGTCCAACTTTTAGCTGATGTCTAAGAGTAACTTCTAGTTAACATCATCGCCGGACTTCTAGCTGACGTGACAACCCAATGTCTTTTTGTCATGTCTTATCAATGTCAAATCCTAACAATTAGGTGACCTCACATCCCAACCTTTAGCTGATCTCAAATCCCAATGTCTAGTTGATGTCAGAGCCCAACATCTAAAATGAAAATCAAACGTCTAGTTCACTTAAAAAAACAGCATCTAGTTGATGCTTAAAGCCACCGTCTAAGATAATGAAAACCTACTTTCCAGTAGACCTTCAAACTCAAGTCTAGTTGACGTAAACTAGAACTGTACACATTTGATCAGTCTACACTTAAATAAAAAATACAACATTTTGCTTCACGATGCAAAAGTGCAAGGTAAAATATTTACAGATACATTAAGGTGCATGCACCAGGGCTTTGTCCAAGGACCACTGTTATTCACAATATTAATTAACAGTAATCAGACAAAATATTCTTAATCAAAATTTAAACTTTCTACTGATTCACTGTCAGTTACAACAGGCTTCAATGCTGCAATCCTTCCTGTTCACCAGCCTTTTTGCACTATTTACATCCAGCTCAGAACATCTATGTCAAGTTGTAAACTCAGTGATCCCAAAGACCCTCACAGGAGAGATTACAAGTTCAAGAAGACTAGGTATAGGTATAAGAATAGACAATGGATACATAGAATAGGGAAGAGAAGGTAATCCTGTTAGCCAGACATCACACTCAGTCTGATAGAGGCTTACACCAGTTTAACAGGCGGCAGGTAAACAATCAGTTAGCATAACAGTGTCATGGCCAGGAGCTCATCACATATCTACAGCAGTTTCAAACACACACTGATTTTACTAAAAGATCTAATTGGAGCGATGAATTAAGGCAAAAAAGATCCAAACAAAACTCTCTTAAAGACTGACAAAGTAGAGCAAGGTGCAACCATTATGTTCAATGAAAGTTAATTATTCTACATTGCAACTCCAGTATTGGTAAAAAAAAAAAAAAAAAAAAAAGCCAGAGAAATAGTAGTTAAGGCAAATAAATAATCATTGATTTATGGTTAGCCCGATACATGACAATAGTCTTTGCTTAGAATCCTGTTTTATTAACTTTTTCTTAAAACGAGGCGGACAAAAAAAATCAACCCTCTTGTGCGGCTTTTCCTCACTTTTTGTTGATGAACTGTAAAGTAAACCATTTATTGCCCTGCGACTTTAACCCCTAATCCTCTTACACTGTGCAGGTTTAAAAGGAGTGAGCTGAACTTGCCCCCGATAAGGAAATGACCTTTAATCATCCTATAGAAGGTGGATGAACATGGCCTAAATAACAGCCCTTTACCATGCATGGGAAAAAAGGAACTGTACATTTGTAATGCTCCTTTAATGACTGCTCTGTCAGCAGCTCTCTGACCTATAAGTAACCCAAGTCGTCACTCCGAAAGATTAGAACAGAAACGGACTCAACACAGCAATTAAAGTGCTGCAGTTAATTTGTTGTTGGTCCGGATAAATATGCTTTTAGGCTGCCAAAATATCTTGTGACTTCAAAATGTGTGGTCATTGAATAAAAACAGAAATTAATCATTTACTTAACTCAAACCCAACCCTTCAATTCCCCATAAACACATGAAAATGAAATTACTACAGTTATGTGCTCTATATTTATGGTATGGGTAAAAAGTTAATTTTAAAAGCAAGTAAAAAATCCAAAAATAACATGTATCAAGAATTTCCATGAAGCAGACTACTGCACTAAAAAACTGAAAATCATCTCATGCTCAAAATGTTAAAGGAAATTGCTAATTTCTAAGAATAGAAAATAAGGGGATATTTTGAAACAACAAACTTCTTTGGGGTAAAAAAAAAACAAACTCTAACGCTGTTTGTTCTAAGACCATTTTACAGATGTCCACTGTTTGATTCTCCACTACGTGTGCCTCCATCAGGTGCCAGGATCACAGATAAGCCCCTTGACTGGTGCTTTGTTGGCCCTCTGCCAGTTAGCATTAGCTTGTAGCCATTGCTGCTAGCAGATACTTGGTTGTCGATAGGCTATTCAGAGTACAAGCGATTTCGGAGCTAAACAACAGCTAACAATTCATTAAACAAAAATGTAACAAGCTGCTGGCTGATGAAACACAAAATGGTTTTCAATAAAAAGTAACTGTCTATCAGTGAGCTGCAATCAGCACTGCTAACTCCACAAAGAAAGTTACCAATATAAGAAAACTAAACCTCAAAAACTGGGACTCAGCTTGCTCATCGGGTGGAGAACAAAATTGAGGTCCTGAGCTCATGAATAGTTGCTTCGCAGATGATAGGGCCAATTTGGATGATTGCTAAATCAATGCAAATTATTCACCAAGATTAAATGTGTTGAACTTGTGTTGGTATGTTGTGTATCAAGTCTGCTTTTTTGGGTCCACACTGGAATTTTGGGTGTAATAACCACATTAACTCTTATCGACATCAGTGGCAGTTTGCATTTTATTCTTAATGACAATAATCTTATGACTTAAATTATTAAGGAATTCTTATACACATGATGGACTCTTTGCCTTGAAACTGGCAAACCCCTGAGTCAAGAGGGTACATTTAAAACAAACACAACTTCCCCTGCCAACAAGAATGGGCCCCATCCATTAAAAATATGTCATCAACTAATGTGGGTTACGCACTGCACTTAATGGCCCTTTTTATCAGTAAGCCTGTGCTTGTTCCTCAGCGCTGACGTCTGTTGGCAGCCAAACGGACCAGGGCATACCGTTGTCACATTAAGCTTGGTTTTCTGGCATTAAATGACGATGACAGAGCGAGTAGTTGCTTGCACTGGGGTATAAGGTGTTGGCTTGGTTAACATAAACAACTGGATTAAATAGTTGGCTGTGGTAATTTGGATGTCCTGGAAAAGAAAAAGGCAGCCTAGTTAACAGAACACTAAGACAAATGAGAGGTTAAGGCTTTTCTTTTATTAGGTTGAAAAAAGGTAAATCAACTCCAGAGGTTCTCAAGGAATTTCTTGTTTACCCGGAGAAGGACATATTACACCTGATGCATGTTTCAAGTCTACTTTTGCTTCAGTTTGAACTTTTGTAGTTGTTGTAGTAGTGCCAGAACTGCTCGAACAACAATGAATCAATCCAGTTGCGACAGATGGCTGTCCACCAAAATGTCCGGTTCTGCTCAAGGTTTCTGCCTATTGAATGGAAGTTCCCATTGTTGCCAAATGCTGGCTAAGTGGTGGACTTAGTTGACACAAACACAGATGTACAACAACTTACAAATACACACATTTCTGCTATTTTTTTAAGATAAAACCAGGGCAGTGAACATTGTCATTGTCATATCTGTGTTGTGATATGGTTTCGGCCAAGGGGATTCAATTCTTCTCTCAACAAGAACCAAACTTTGAGCGATATTAGTTAACTTTCAATACCACACCACATTCACTAAACAAGAATGAATATATTTAACTCAGAAATGGAAATACAAGTAAGACATTTAATGTTGGGGGGTTAGGGAGTCTTGATCTGAATAATGGTAAAAACCTTCACATTTAACAATATAATTCATGTTTATTTATGTATTCAGTTAAAGCTTTGGGATTCCATAGAGATCGTCAATTCAGACTCGTGACTTCTGTCTTTATTCATGAAATTCTGAGATCCATATCCAAAAACATTACATTTTGACAGCTGTGGAAAATAAAACTTGGTTATGTGTTTTTTCTTTTACTTGCACGAGCCAAGATTCTGTAATTCTACACTGATTATATCCCTCTGGACATGTCCAGGGTTAACGCTAACACAAACACTAAAATTGGACAGGAAGACAGCTGTGTGTGTCGGACTGCTTCAAGTCTCATTGTTCTGGGATTTCACAGCTTTCTCTCTTTATTATTATTCCTAGTCCTTAGGTCATTCTTTGTTACCAAAGACTCAGAGATTTATATTTAGAACCTGTTCACTACTAACTGCTATTTCTCCTTTATCATCGAGTCAATTTAAAGTCCTGTGTTTATTTAACAGAGAATGTTCTCTGTGTACACTCCAGTGAAACAACACAGAAGAAACTATAGGAAGCTTATTAACCTCTTCATAACATTTTCCCTAAAGAAACAGGCTGAAGAGGAAAGAGACAAAAGAAGCGAAACATTCAAATTTAACAATAGTGACTGTCTTTTAATCGGGCCACACTTATCCATCAATTTACAGACACAATTCTTAAAAGCTCTTTTTCTTGTAGATCTTGTCTTATTTCGGCTAAATGTAACGTCTTTTAATGTTCATAGTGATTTCTTTTTAACTCTGTAAAGCCCTTTGAATAGCTTAATGTATCAATGGTGCTCTATAAATAAACTTGCCTTACCCTAATTCTATCGACATTTGACCTCCCGCCATTTGACCGCATCATCACCTACTAACCTACCTGCCCATTACCTATTGACTTAAAATAGCTCTTCAAGTAGTTTACGATGTGAAACAGCTGCTATTTGGTTAGATAAAGTCACCAAAAGTACGTATAAATTAAGGGAAACATAATGCCTTAAATACCAAAGCTACCAATGTTGCTTTATGTATGTAATGGGACAGAAACACTTTGGGGTTAGTCTTGTGATGGACCAAGACATCCTTCAAACACACAGCCATGAGTTAGGGGTTGTCATAGTAACTATGACATTTAAGGCTCCTGATAGGATGCAGTGATTAAAATTTTTGGCGTAACTCCAAATTAACAGCTTTCAGGTCCGACTCATCTAAGCTCCTTTGCCGTTTTGAGAATCAGATAGTTCTCAAATGTTCATCACCATCATATCTTCTATCGACCGGTAATTCCTCTTCGTTTTTCATTGACAACAAATGGAAATTAGCTAGCTAGCTAAATCTGATACAAAGCATCTCTTCTCTTCTGAGACTAGAGTTTTTTTTGTACACTGTCCCTGATTCAAATAAACGATTAAACTAAACTAACTAAACATTGTTGACTTTCATTGGTAAACTTTGTTTTCACTGCAACAACGCAAGCAACACTTAGCAGGGCAAGACGAGTTAATGCTGTCAGATGGTGCCCCCCTTAGGGAGGTTTCCTACTGTCGTTGCAAAATTAGCACATTTAGGGCTACTGCTTTGGTTGAAGTTTGTCAGCCCTCAAGGGGCCCTTACGGGTCTGGGGCCCCAAGCAGTTGACTGCCCTGCCTGTTCACAAGCAGCGCCTCTGCTCAACTTTATTAAAAACTAGTACAAATTTGTTGTGGAAGCGCCATTGCTGTAGCAGCCGTACATTTTAAAGGTATAATATGTTAGGAGAAGGTGTGGAGAAAGGAGGGGAGGAGGGAGTTTGGAAGAGAGTGTTTGTTTTGATCTGAAGATCTGCTCTGAAAGTCGCATAGTAAGCCTTTTAAAGGGTCACAATTGAGATTGCACAGCAGAAACTCATCAACATACAAACAAAATGCAGAAGTTTAACTATTACGCTGGCTGTCTCCTCTACAACCTGCTGTGAAAAACAAACAAACCAAAACAACAATTCCAACAGGTATCACAAAAACATTAACACAAGATCCTGCTGACCACTAAAGGCCAAAGCCATGTGCTCAGTAGTAGCAAAGCAATGCCAGCAGGAGGTCTGCCAGGTCCCAATGTCCTGTTTTTTTGATTAGTAGGGTTAGCTTCAGCTAAGTCCCTGTGTGTAAGAGGCTGGAGGCAGGATTTACAGACCTGCGCAGACAGCCTGGGAATGTGTGTGCTGTGTGTTTTGGCTTGTATCGCTCTGTGCTTCCATAATCACCTGAGAAAAGAGAACATCTCTTTATGAGAGGTTTGGGGCCAAGGCTGCAAGATGAGGGACTACGTGGCTTTGACAGCGAGAGAAAGAAGAGAGGGGAAATGAACGCAAAACTGCCAAGAGGGTAAAAGACAGAACAATTAAACCCCAAGTTGGAAAGAGATCAAGTCATTGGAAGTCTGGGTTTACATGTTCCCAATGGTGCAAACACTAATATGGCCCAATATGTAGAGCAATGTTGACCTAATTTGGTGTTTTAACCACTGCACTAGAACTAGTGTAAACTAAAAACTGAAACTAAAAGTTTCTGAGTGAAATAGTGGTTTATTTGTTCAAAACAGGGAATGACCACCAGTATTAGATGCATACAGTTTGTGATCAAAGTAAAACACTCCCAGATCATTTAGTTCCAATTTCAAACAATGAAGGGGATTGATACAACATAATTCAGTTTGGTCAGAGGCCAAATTCATTTTGAATTTATGGCATGATAAAACTACAAAAGGTCATCTGAGCAATAAAAAGCCTGGAATTTGTAGATTTTGGCTTTTGTGAAGGATATAAACAGAGCCACTCATTGTCAATAGGCAAGGCAGGCAACTTCTTGGGGCCCCAGACCAGTAGGGGGCTCCTGAGGGGGGGCTGACAAACTTCTGACATCTGACAGCACTCACTATCGTTGCCTTGCTAAGCGTTGCGAGCATTATGTGAAAATCAAAGGTTGTCACTGAAAGTCAACCAAGAAAAATTAAGAGGAATTATCCGTCTATAGGAGAGAAAACTGAAACAGGAAAAAAGAGGAAGAGGTGATGATAAATGCGGGTTGTAGGGCCAACAATTATTTCTTGCCTGGGGCCCCAACAGACTCTAGAATTGCAACTGGATAGAAATAGAACTAAGAATAAGAAGGTCAGATTATGACTAATAGGCTGTCTAACTTCAATTAATTAAGTCAGTAAAGTAAATCCTTGGTGAAACACTTTGAGGGTATCAAACTGTCGTCACAAGTTTGATGTTTGAGGTTAAGAGAGAGTGAAGTTGAATATGAGTAACCATCGAAGCAACAAAACTGAAAAATCACGGATGTTATCTTCTTTTTTTTTTTTTTTAAAGATTTAATTTGGGCTTTTTGTGCCTTTAATGCAGAGAGAGGACCAGGGAGAGAGAGCGGGGAATGACATGTGGAAAGGGGCCACGGGTGGAAGCGAACCTGGGCCTACCGCTTGAGATGAGAGTCTCAATACATGGGACGTGCGCCCTAACCATTGCGCCACCAGGGTGCCCCATGGATGTTATCTTAATGATATAGTTTAGAAATCATACAAAATAAAGGTCAATTCAAATCGCTGACACAAAAAAATTAATTTCGATCCATTACTCAACGCAACCAACTTTTCAATCAACCACCAACTAAAAACTCACTTAAATCATATGTCTATATAAAAACAAGAAAATCTAATTGGAAATAAAAATTGTTTAGTGAATCCAGCATTATGATGGTATCAAAATCGGCAGCGGAGCATCAAGTATTGTTTTGTAAATGTGATAAAAATAAGTATTACATCAAGCTGGTTACGTCCAGTAATCAGTGAATTAGTTTTGACGTACTACATCTTCTGACGGAGATGTTTGCGTACGTAGGATGACACGGCATGACTGTAGAACACATCAAGTGCTTGTGGTCATTCATTATTATGTTTATGTTCAAAACAATGCAGGCTGATGAAACCCAAACCCGACTCACTGAACGCTCCATGAGTCAGTGTGCTGCCCTGCTTCTTCCACTTGTGCTGTATAAACACAGTATTTCAAGTATGTCGGACCATTAGTGGTAAAAGCCGTGAAGAGTCCGCTTGTGGGGACGCTGGTTGAGAGGACAGAGGGATATATTGTGTAGGATGATAATATTTACTGTCACAAAGAGACTGTGTCAGGTTATACGGGGACTTCAGGAAAACTCAGTAAATCAAAGAAGACAAACTGTGACACAGAGATGGTTTTATGTTTAACCGCACGCGACTGTGTTTGTGTGATGAACTACCTCGCTCTTTCTTTTCCTTTGAGAATGAGTCAAACTTCCTGCGAAGTGATTTTCTCCTCTTGCGGGTTTCTGTAAAAAATAAAATAAAATAAAAATTACCACTATATAACAATAAAATGTCTATTCTATCAGATTGAGGGACATACTGTATATCTGCCTTTCATTATTCTGGCTTGTTGACTCAGTCATCACCCTTTTCAGCAATCGACAAGATCTGAAGGCGCCCTCATTAGGACTGTTTTCCCTTTCCTCTCTCTTTTTATGTCTCTCTCCTGAGTTCTTGTACCTCTTCCTCAGCTCTGACAATAGAGCAGGCCATTTCAAGGGACAAGCTCTTGTTGTTTGTTCAAATAGCCCTTTGTTTAATGGCTGCACCCTGCCCCTGAATATGAGGGACAAAGTGCCTTTTGTGTGTTAAGTTTGTCTATGTATGTGAACAACATCCAGGTTTAACATGAAAATATATACATACATAACGTTATAATAATTACCAAATGTAATGTCAATACATTTTACAACAGAAAGAAAAAATCTCAGGTGACTTGATAGATGTTTGACCGTGATATTTTCTATGCCTGTAGAAGGGAGAAGTGGTGTTAGCTAGAAAGCTAGCGTTAGTAGCATTTCCTTTCATTCTACAATTCACTGAGCAGACGCTTTTATCCAAAGCGACGTACATCAGAGAGTAAATACAACACAAGCAAGGATCTAGAAAAAGGAAACAATGTCAGTAAGAGCAAATGATCAGCTTTGAGTCTTGAGAGCTCTAATCAGTATAGAAACCATCTTAAAAGTTGCCGTTAGCAACAAAACCATCGTCATTACCATCATCATCAATAATACTGAGACCATCGTCATCATCATCATGAAAGGCGTAGGTATTTATGAAAGAGCTGGGTCTTTAGCTTTTTCTTCAAGGTGCAAAGGGACTCTGCAGATCGAATGGAGTTTGGTAGTTTGGTATTTCATGGCAAACAATATCAATGATACGTCAGTAGTGAGCTGTAAATCCACGTTTCTGTGCTAGTTACTCTTTAGTGCTTATGAGGGCGTTTGTTTTTGCAGCACAGCTCTCAGGAGTGTTTTCACAGTGAGTAGTCTGTTTTTGTACCTCCTGTTTTACGAGCCTGACATCCTCCCCCTCTGACCGGGTCTACGTATAACAAGTCATTGTTTGGGTTTCTAAAGCTGGTGTTTAGAAATCACTAATTCATGGACTGGTCTTTTTCCTATTAAGGAACAGAGTGGTGCTCCTTGCATCGCAAATTGTGTCTTAAAGAATATTTTAGACTTTAAATGAAAGAAAGTCTCCTGTTCTTTCCCCATAGTGTCTGGGGAAAAGGAGCCGGTAAGGCAAACAAACAAGAGTTGGTATTTGAGTGCTTGAGATTCTGTGTTTGTGTACTTAAGTGTGTGTGTGCATGTTGGGGAAAAAGGGGTCAAATTCTCACGACTGCAGGAAATTAGCGTTTATTTCCAAAGCTAACAGCCCCTTCCATCGTGCACACGTCGCATCTTACTAAGCTAATCTCTTAGCCACGTTCCTTAGACATCTGTGTGCATGTATGCACTCAGTGTGTGATTATATAACCCACATTCACAGAGAGCTGAGATGACAGATCAAGATAAACACACAGGGAAAATCAGCTCAAGATTCAAAGTACAACAGACTTTAAAAATGCATTTTTCAGCAGTTGCTGCTTTAAGAAAGTTTTGTTAAAATGCATCAGTTCCATCAGTCCACCCCATAGACTGTAGCCTATTAAATAGCCCGAGTGACATCATCCATTGTTTCCAGGCAAACAGCCTGAGCTCACCTGTGTATAACTCTTCTCATTAAAATGGATAAGTTAATAAAGATTACACCCCGTATTTCATTTCATTTTAAACCTATACTTATTCTCGAAAAGACACTGAGGTTTCCCTCATTTCCAATGCTGTCGAGATTACAAGCAGAGTAAAACAAACAAAAACACATCAAACACTCAGAATCTGTGACAAAAACCACTGAGATTATTTAAAACAGTTACAATTTGAAAAGTATGCAGTATGTATCTCATGTCTTTGTGTGCTGATAAAGGCATGAGCTAATCCGATCTATTTCATTGTTTGAACCAGGTTGTAAACATGTTAAATTCTGCTGTAAAAACAGATTTTTTGAATGGGTGTGTATTTGACTTCAGGTGCTTCTGCAGCCAGCCTCTAGTGGACACTCGAGGAACTGCAGGAAGTTTGTGAATTTAAACCTTCATGTACATAGCTACAAATCTTTCATTCTTCCACCAACCGCATGTTACGTACTTTTATAGCTAACAAACGACCGTAAACATAACTAGACTCGAGACAAGTGGGATATTGAAAATGAAGACCAACTTTTGGAATTATGGCAAAAACACAATTAATCATACGTCAACAGACTGCTTGTTTCCACATAGGATACTGGAAAAAAACATTTCCTCTAAAGTTTGAGAAGGGAAACAAATGATTGGAAAGATGATCAGAGGAAGGAGAGAGCGTGTTGTTTGGAGTCCCTGTAGAGGACGCTTTCAAAGAACGGGGCATGAGAATGAACTTTCATACATACACATACACATGTGCAACACACATGCTCACACTCAAATACATTTACATTAAAAGAAGTGTGATTAGATAAAAACAGGAGGATTTATGACGTGGATTCCTCCTTCAGTTGGACCACTGTGAAACAAAAAGAGAGGACGGACTTATTAGAGACAGTGAGCGATAAGAAGTCGTGAAGTGTGATGGAAGAGGGGCCGTTTGGAGACAGAAAAAGAGATGGAAAAAGAAACAGAAGTGCAGCAATAGAAGCCCAGTGAAGAAATAGCAAACTGGGAGGTTACGCCAAGACCATGACAGACTTTGTGGACGGAGGAGATTTGACCCCAGGGGAGAAACGGAGGACGAAGATTCCCACACTTACCAACAGCCTGCTTTGTCTTAGAGCCAGGCACAAGATTTTTTTGGGGGGATGTGTGTCAGCATTTAAAAAAATAATTTGTGATGGTTTTGTTTGGCCTCCAACAACTTCCATCCCGGTGGAAACGAGTGTTTTTGTTGTGTTTTACAAGCTCCACATCCTGCCTGTTTAACCGAGTTAGCGTGGGTTTAGAGCATTGTTTTGGTAAGAAAAACTGGTGTTTACAATATACTAATTCTAGATCGGGTGTGTTAACAATTAGGGGAACACATGGCATTTTGTACAGGCTGTTCCCTAGAAAACATGTAGGGATATTTGGGAGGTCTTTTCCCTCCTCCGCTATTTCTCAACGAGTTAACAGCAATTTTAAGCTGGGATATTATAACTGGGAATGAAAAGACAAACTCCTGTAAATACTTAAAGCAGAAAACTGTGAGTGATTTGCTCTTTTTTTCCCCTGTGTATCACATTGTAATTAAACCCTGAACCAATGACTAAGAGTTTACATTAATCCCTGAAGATAATAAAAGAAGAAGGGGCTAAGAGAAAAAAAAACTCCAAGACTTTCTGAAAGTGAAGGAGGACAGGGACAGCAGGGTTTCACAGGATGTATGATGCCCTGAGAACCAAACTAAGAACATGTCATCCTCAATTATGGATGGATTGATTTGATTAAAATCCCGTGAGACAATTATCTGAAAGCCACTGGTATTGGGGTAGATCTAATAGTTTGTTTTTTATATTGTCCAATTGATTTTTTCTTTGGATCGATCTTGGAAACTAATGAGTTAGGTTAAGCTTATTTCCATGTTTTTGTTTTGTTCTTTTGCAACTTCAGCGATACGAGATAATTAAGTCAAGATCTGAAATAAATATTTAGAAGTAAGTAAACGTCACCGGGGTCAAATAAATCAAATGTATGGATGCATGTCTTCTTAGGGCTTCTGTAGTTCACCACCAAACAGAAGAAAGACAAAGTTAGCATCAACATAGCATAGCAGCTAAGAGTCAGATGTTGTCCTCGGTAGTTGGTGGAGACCAAAAACGAGCTAAAAGGGAGTGAATGATGGCCCTACATTTTAAGAACAGGAACAATGACTAGCAGTGCATTATGTCATCTAAGAAGTTGATGACCTGCTCGTGCCTTCCGGCCAAAAACTCAGTGACTGAATGATTAAAGGTAACCCTGTATCGTTCACTGATCACTATTTGTAGAGGCTTTTTTTTTAACTCGAGTAACGATTAATCTGCAGAGAAGACGCCAAAATCTGTGGGCAAAAGCGAGGAAAGATACCGACTTTGAAACGTTACTTTGCAGGATTGAGATTGAAGACGTCCATAAGCAGATGAACTAGAGGTTAATTGAGCCCCATTATGCGTAAACTGGGTCTGATTGAATCAGCAGTCTGGTCGAGTTGAGCCTGTCAAAGGCCAATGACCCCGAGACAGTCCAACGGTACAGGAGAGAGCATACAGTCTGAGAAAAGAAGCTTACACACTGACCAGTCTCCCAGGAGAACGGCTACTGACACATAGACAACACACACACACACACACACTAGTCCTAGTACTACACACATATCACTCTTACAATCAGTTGCTTTTTGTTTCTTAGCCATGACCTTACCGATCCCTCCAGCACCGATAAACAGAGAGAAAACCTCCCAGTCTGTAGCCTGCGAGGTGTTTTAAATATTTACAGTTTATTGGTGAAAGGATGCCGCTTTATTGGCTGGATTTAGAGATTAGGAGGTCAGCTGGATAAGACGGTTGCACATAAACAATATTTCAAAGAAGGGAGTATTCCAGCGGCAAGAAGAGGAATGCATGTGCAAGTAAACATCAGCAGAGGAAGAGTGTGGAGGAATGTCCTCCGGGTATGAGTGAAAAAGTCTATTAAACACAACTCAGGGCCCAAATAGAGGCTTGACGACAACAAAAACAGAATTGCTCGTACTTTGCTGATGTCTAGCATGGTGGCTTAACTGTCAAGAAGATACTGTCAAGTACGAAGGAAAACAAAATGTGAAAAAGGATTCGGAAAAGCGACAGAGACATATTTTCCCCTCCCGACCCCAAGGGAATTCACACCCTCGGCAAAGATTACAAAGATGTTTGTTGGTTTCGCAGCTTCCCATTGCAGACTGTATCAGAAATAATCAGTAAATGTGTTTGAACTGAAAAAACATCTTGTCCAATATGTCATTTCATGACTTTTTTTGGACTTACCAACTTTTATTCAAGAGTCGTCTTGACCCAAAATATGGCAGACATCGCTAGACAGTTGGTCGTCATTACTTTGTGGTATGCAGACATTAGAATTCCAGTCTCTCAAATGATGATGCCAGCTGGTGCCGTGATTACATCCAACTGATGACGGATATTTTGACAAAATTTAACCTTAATGGAAATCAAAATAAAGAATGCTGCTCTTTTCAGTGCTTTCCTTCATATTGACTCTTTAATAGCAAGGGGAATCAACGGGTGAAAAGTTAATGTATGTGTTGAGCTACCTAGATAGTATTTCTTAGTGTTTGAACCCCTTTCCCATTTGGAAGAATACGTGATCAATCACTACTTTGAGTGGATGAAAATCCGGGGAGGCAGTAGCTCAAGCTGTGGGGACTTGGGTTAGGAACCGGTGGGTCAACAGTACAGAACAAAAATGTCACTTCACCTTCATTGACCAATCATGATCAAGAAGGGGTGGGACTCCTTGTATCAGCTTTGACCTCAACAATGCCGGAGCAGAAACTAATATGACTTCCAGATCTAGAGCTGATGTAAAACATGCCCAATGGTCACTAGGGAAGCACTTACTTTCGTAACCTAGCAATAACAAGCATGGGTGAGAAGCCCTCTGAAACTGAGGTCATGAGCGCTGCCAGCACAAAAACCACCACTATGGACACAGACCCTTAGAGGTACTAAAACATGTGACTGAAAAATGAGAAGATACCAAATTTGCATCCAAGATTGTTTTCGAGATAGTGTTCAGAGCTGGGAAAGTCAAAATTGTTTGGCTCCAGTTTCCCATGAGCTTGTTTTTGTGTTTTCTCCAAGCAGAGAAAGCCAAGATCATCCCTGTGAGAAGAGCCTCGTCGCTTCATCAGGAAAACATCAACTTGGTCAAATGTCAAGCATCTGAAATTGCATCTTTTCCCATATTGGCACACACAGTTTGTTAACTTTTCTTAGCACCAGATGTTGCTTTTTATCAACCAAGTTTTTCCCACATTTTTACAAAAGAACCACAAAGGACCTCAGAGATAAAAACAAGATGTAAATGTAAACTGCACTCAAGAAAAGTGTCTGAGATATGGAGGGAATCTCTGCACAAATCATGCTGTATCCTTTGCCCCCTTCTTATCATATCTGACAGCTGGGATTGCTTACACATGTGCACAGAGTTTGACCGAGTGCAGAATCTTAACCTCCTCGTCTTCTTGCTTTGAGCTCATTCCACACATTCACTCGCTGTTGTGGCTGCTAAACCGCTGGAGGGGTTGTCCACGCGATAAAGAGCGGTCCAACCAAGAAACTCCCACTACTCACATTTTGTTTAAAATGTCATCATGAGCTTGACCCGACTTGCTTTAACCCAAAGCTTTCAACTGAGTCACAAGAGTTATATTATTGCAGAGCTTAGTGAAAATCTTAAGGCATATCTGAACCTACATCCAAGATTACAACTAAAATCCAATGAACCTGAATGGTGTTCCACAGCTAAAAAATTAGAAATGACCAAATTACACAAAAGGCCAGAGGTTTATGTGAATTTAGAAAGTTGCAGTTTGGAAGCTGACTTCCAAAATGATGAATTTGGTCCACACGTTTTGGGGAATAGGCTTGTTTTTGCAAAGACAGTGGTGCCATTATTGAGTCTGTACAAAGAGGCAAATCTTAACGTTTCACTTGTTTAGCATATCTTAGCATAGAACTGTGGCCTGTTGCCCCAAACTTTGTGTAAGTTCTGTCATAAGTTGTGGTGTAAAGTCTACACTATACCCTACGTTAAAACTAGTTGAAGTTGTGTCATTGTTTGGTTACCACAAAGGCACGAGGTACATCTAACAGACAAGAAAACAAAAATGTAGTAATTGGGTGAATTCTTTCCATATTGTCTTACCTTTTGGGATGCTGATCTTAAAGTCCAGGTCCCTCTCTTCCAGATGGTATAAGGCCACTTCCTGTAAGCGGGCTCGCTCCAGCTCTGACAGGCTCTGGATGGGCACCGGCTGCAACCGCACACTCTGACCCAACATGGTCGTCCACGTGTGGTCCCCCTGCCGACAGGAAAGAGATAGTCATTTTAAGATCTCTAAAAAGTCTGCTCACGTTCATCACAACACCATACCATATATATCTGTGTAGGTTCTCAGTCATCCAGGTCATGGTAAATCCTAAAGAAGATATTCAACCAGCCCAGTTGCCTGTGCATGTTATTAATCATTTACCAAATGATTTGAATACTTCTTCCACTGCTGTACTGTACACACACACTTTTGCTCCATTGCTCCCAGAGCTCTGGGGTCTTATGAAATCCATTAATCACTGACTAAACCGCTGCTATGCAACACAATTATAAATAAATAGAAAACAACTATTGTTAGTGCAATACAACATTTTCAAAATAATCCCTTGTGGACGGTTGGAAGTTGT